AGGCTGAATAGTAACTGGAAAGAACTGGAAAGGAAGGCTCAGGACAGAGTTGGATGGAGAATGCTGGTGAGCGGCCTATGCTCCTCCACAAGGGGTAACAGGCGTAAGTAAGTAAAGTAAAGTTGGATGCTCCTGGAATCTGACAGTACGCTCGCACATGGTCGCTTTCAGGAAAAACTTGTTTACCGTGCAACGTAAGTGAAAAGTCGTGCACATGGGTAACTGAGTAACGATCAAATAACGTTAAGTTATTTAACGACCGATAATCACCACATGGTTGCCAATCCTGATCTCGCTTAGGTAACATGTGGAGTGGGGATGCCCAGGGACTAATTGACGGACTTACGATTCCAAGTTGCATCATGTACTCGAACTGGACTTTTGCAACTGTAAGCTTGTCCGGTGGTGATCGACATGGATCTATCGAAAATAGTTGGCTTTTTATGATGATTCGATGAACCACGGAATTTCGGATGGTGTTTTCTCTGTAATCTGGTTTCGTCAACTTGGGAAATTTAGATAAAATATTGGCGAATGTATGGTTTACTGGGATGTTGATTTTAATACTAAGTATATGATAATGCGACTGAATTCCTAGAACCTGAATTTTTGTGCAAGAATCGATAAGTTTTCGCCTTTTAACATCAACTAATAAGTTGTATGAGCTTAGAAAGTCTGGACCTAATACAGGGTGAAGGACATCAGCGATAATAAACACCCAGTTTAGACGACGTTCAATCCCCAAGTCCATTGTTAGGAATTGTTCCCCAAATGTCTTTATTTCAGTTTTATTAGCCGCTATCAATGAGTATTTTCCACATTTAGCAATAGTTTTCTTGGTTAAGGTAGCTGGAATAACACTGACTTCGGCTCCAGTGTCTACTAAGGACTTGAGGCGGAAAGTTTTGTCAAAAGCGTTGAAGTGGTGACTAGGAGCGTGACCAGTAACATTTGTCGCCGTTACTGTTTGGTTGACACTTTTCAGCGAGGAAAATGACTTGAGAAGTTTGCAGGACGTATCACACTTCCTAGCTTTGTGGCCATACTTTTTATGGTACCAACAGATGTGGTCTTCGTATTTGTTTGTTCTTGAGTTATCTCGGTTCTTACTTCCCCGAGAACTAGGGCGAGACCTTCGAGATGTGAGATTGGAAATTAATTATTGTGATGCATCTAGCTTGTTTTCAAGACTAACAATAGTGCGTGCGTGGCGTGTACGTATGTCGCTCAATTCAGCTATTAACGACGCTATGTTCGGGGCTTGAGTGTCGATTCAAGTTTTGGATATCGTCTGCATGTAAGGTGTCGTACTAGGCGTTACTTCTAAAATCTTGTCAGCCATGCCGGCTAGACTCTCCGAATCTAAAAGCTGGGTAGAAGCACAAAGAATTTGCCTGACTACCGTTGGTAAACGTTGTAGTCAAATTTCCTTCAAAAAAGCATCACCAGCATTATAAGGTCCAACAAACTGCCTCATCTGGCGTAATAGTTGAGAGGGTGACTTATCACCTAACTCACACTCATGCAGCTATTGTTGTAACTTCTTTTCATCCGATAGTGAGGTACGTTGGATAATAGCCTGCTTCAACTGATCATAGGCATTTGACGCAGGGACATCATCAATAAGATTTGATACCCCAGATCCCACTTCAGCCAATAAAATTCCAAGCACAAAAGAGTATTTTGATTCATGTGAACGTATGTTACGATGATGAAACCGTACTTTCACCTGTGCAAACCATATACGTCGGTTTATCCTACTAGAGTGTGTAACTCTGTTGGATCGTTATCCTGGCTAGTGCCTTCGGATTCGGATGAATACATTACAAATATACAAAAAATAACCACTACCAGGAGGAAAAGTAGCGCAATAATGTCTGCAATTGAACTCGAAATAAAAGTTCCTAAAAAAAAATGTACGAGCTCACCAGAATTGTGTCATTAACTAGTCGATCTAGTCAATATTATTATCCTTACTCCCAATAAGAAATCTTTGATAACTATGTAAAAACTCACCTTGCTACATTTTTAAACATCAGAATGTTGATATCAAGAGCCAAAAGACTACAAAGCTGAATATTCACCTAATTCCCAGTGCAGGGCTTGCAAATGAGTATCCGAAATATGAAACAGATATGAAGCAGAGTTTTGACTCAAGCCGTGATAGTCAACGACCTTGACGGAACTTCTCCGGTATTTAATATTCGATCTAAGACGATGCTCTGTAGAGAAACCTCGAAGTCCGCAGGATACCTACATGAGCAACAAAATTTGGCATCTTATAGCTTTTACTTCCACCCTCCGTGCTCCATATGAGCTGTAGTGGTAATTGTCAATGAGATGGTGGAATTACTTTCGTAATTGAACCAATTTTGTCTATTCAGTTTTAGAATCAGTAATAGAAAATCAGTGGATGCTATCTGCGTAGACTTCAGCAAAGCATGTGACAAAGTGCCGTATTACAGACTACTCTTGAAGCTGAAGAATTTAAAAAGTGCTGATCTGTCACGGAGTGGATCGAGGACAACTTGGTAGGTCGTATACAGTAAGTGGGAATAAATTGCTAATGCTTCTCTTGGATACCAGTACCTCAAGGCTGTCATACGTTCGTTACTTCTTACACCGCTTTCAAGTGAACACCCAAGAATAGTTGAGTCTACGATGCTAAGATGAACAATAGCAGACGCAGATGGATGTGCACTTCAAGAAGACTTAGATGTTCTGATTAGATGGTTTAAAAATGGCTGATACTTTTCAACGCGTCTCAGTATGTCTACAATCACATTTGAGATACAATAGTAAAAAGTCACAGATCAGAGGAAGAGCCAATACCCACAGTGTTTTTTTACAATGATCTTGTGGTAACAGTGGGCTTTTATCTTAAGACCACCGCCAACTGCCGCGCAGTGGCAGCCAATATGTTCAGAACTATACAGGATTTGAGACGGACGTTTACCTTATTGTGGCCCAAACGTTAAAACTGAGTTCATGCTGCAAATCCCTATTTAAATAGAAACTTGGATATCCTGGTAAACGTATGATAGTCAGCTTGAAAAGCTGAACGTGCTAAGTCTGTTCCAACTCAGACTGAGAAGTGATCTCATTTCGATGCGGAGAATATTATATACTGATTTTGAGCCCGATATATCCTCGCTAGATCAGGACGACTCGGGGGAACAACCAGCTGACATCGAAGTCACAACTCGCGGCCAGCAACTTACGTGGATTACCCTTTCTTCATATCCGAGTACTATATCTGCTTTAATGACTATACAACACAAAGGACGTTGTTACAGAAATATATTAATAAAAGTAAGTCACATGAAACAGAGCGGGACTACCACCGCATGGGCCAGTCCATGAAGCACAATTAAATGATGCACGTTGGTTGCCCTTGACGTTAATGAGGATCACTCAAACGGTTGACATTCAGTGACCGGACCTCTGGATGATTTGACCAGGGCCCATCGTCGTTTCACCTGCCCTACAGATAAATTCTTAGATCCTGTTATCCAAAGAAGAGGTATCCTCCCCCTACAACTAAATCACTTAAGAGAGTACTAAGGACTCTCAGAAACCTACTACGAATGGACTAACACAAGTTCTAGGCCTTTTTTCCTCAATACTCACACTTAGAACACTGTACCAAGCAGCTAGCCCATGTCTGATAAAGGATACTAAATCGCTTGAGCGTGTCCAGTGTGTGAGGACAAAATTAGTAAAGGGTCTTTCTAAACTCCCTTATGATGAGTGTTTAACACGTCTAAACCTTTTCCACTTATCTTATCGTAGGACACGATAATAACTAATAATCTCCGAGGTCATAGCAAGAAGGTTCAGAAACCGCGATCTAATAAACTAAAGGTGGAGTCCCGTTTTTCTCATCGAATGGTCAATGACTGGAACGCTTCACCAGAACAAGTGGTAACAGCACCATCACTGAACATTTTCAAGAAGAAGCTGGACCTTCACTGGAAGGAAATCTGTCAGGATTAACACAGGTTCATCAACCTACTATCCTTATTACTGAAGACTGAAAACGATTTTCCTCAACAAGTTTCATCTGACTTATTGCTTTTTGCTGATGATGTGAAACTTTGGAGAGAGATACGTAATCATAATGATATACTAGTTCTCCAGGAGGACCTGACCGGACTTAAAAGTTGGGCAGACGACAACGGACTTACCTCTAACACTTCAAAGTGCAAGGTAGTCCATCTGAGACATGTTGCAGAATATAGTTATAACTTAGGTAACTCCCCTCTAGAAGTTTCCCAGGTTGAAAAAGATTTAGGAGTGTTGGTACCCTATGATCTGAAATCGTATGCGAACTGTGACAAAAACGCCTCTCAAGCAAACCTTGCACTAGTAACATTGAAGCGCATTTTTGGCCAGTTTGACAGTAGAACCTTCCACATAATCTTCAACAGTTTTATTCGTCCCCATTTAGAGTACGGAAACATAGTATTTCCTCCCTCCCTCCAAAAGGATAAGGACACTCTGGAACGTATACAACGTCGAGCCACGAAATCAGTTCGGGGACTCAAATTCAAACCTTATGAAGAGCGCCTCAAATCACTTAACCTTTACCCGTTAGAGTGCAGGCGTCCTAGAGGTGATCTTCTTATGACTTACGGTATCCGTAATACTCCCGATCATCCCCTTAAACATTTTCTTAAGCTTAGTCATAACACTAACCTAAGAGGTAACACCCAGAAATTGGAGACCCTACATAGCAGAACAGACTGCAGACACAACTTCTACTCCGTTAGAGTTGTCAAGTGCTGGAATTAGCTGTCGACTGAGCCAGTCCAAGCGACTTCCCAGGAGTCCTTTAAGAGGAAACTTGACTTATTCTTAAGGACTAAGGATAACATTATTATGATTTACCAAATTTTTTTCTTCTATTATCGTTCATATACCTAGGTTTTTCCCTGGAGGTATTGGTGATCCACTGCTACCAGACACGGAAGCCCGTTAAGCGAAAGCTTCTTCTATTCCGTCCTCAACCATTTGAACCATTTTGGTTGTTCATTTTATGCGTGTGCGTTACGACAAGGTCAAAATAGTGATTGCATATCCTCGATCTCGGATTATACTGCTGAACTAAGTGAGTTCTCGATGCACTTAATTTGTATGAGCAATCTTTTTAAAAAAAGTGACTTCATTTACCCTCAATATTTAAAATTAGCTGCTTGATATCCATTGTAGGTTTGAGCATGAGCTCATGAGGTTTGCAAACTTTGTCTTTGTATCCTTACTAGCTGACTATTTTAATTTTCGGAAATTACCTAACTTAATAAGGCTTTTAGAACCTCCGATATCTTAGACGTCTGTATGCACTGCAAAAGCCGTGATCCAGCCCCGTATAAATATTTCTCTCTTTATATATATATATATATATATATATATAAGCGAGTTAACTCGCATTGATAAAGTGGTTGACCTGAAGGATTCTTAAGAAAGTCAACCACTTTATCAAGGCTATTTGAAAACTATATATATAGCAGGGTATTCTCATTCCAACTCTGTAAAACATTTCAAGTTTGTATAGGACAACTACAATTGTTTACTGCGAAGTAAACACCCCCATTGCCCGACGACATGATCGTCCGTTCGCTCGTCTCCTCCCTGCGTTTGACAGTACAAGATATCTTCGGCTGTGTTCGCATCCTCTTGACTGAAAAAAACTACCAAAAACAGGTATAAGCCTCTGTCTCTGAAGAAAGTTTTTAGAAAATTTCGTTCATTTTGAACTAGCCATAAAACTGCAACACTGCATTTTAAGGTTGGCTCGAGATTTTAGGGCACAACAACTTAATCCCGTCCTCAATTTTTAGACGTAACCGCTAGGATTTCAACAACCCGAGCTGTAAATTTGCAAGCAGGTCAAAGAATTATATTTTGCTTGATTCACATGGTTCACTGGCCATTTCTTGACTAGAGGACTTGTAGACAAGAATATTAAAAAATTCGGCATTATATTTGATAATACTTGTTTGTTACTGAAAGGAGTACAAACGAAGTACATTAACATTATACAGGCTTACTACTTCAGTACAACTAGTCGAGTTAGAGCCTATGGCGAACTGTCACCAGAATTGATTACCCCAAGAGGTGTTCGCTAGAGTTTTCCACTCTCTCCTTTCTTGTTTAACTTTAACGGACTTCAGTGATTCGGTTGGTATATTCTCAGGTCTTTCTGCTTTCCCACTCTTGATTTGTCTGGTGGCCTGCCATCCTGATCTCTTCAATCGTTGGATTGATATCTATAAGAAGGTCTGTGTGTGTTGCTTCGGTGTCCAGTGGATTCTGTGGAGCTGGCCTATTCAAGAGTCTCTCGAAGTGTTCCACACATCTTTTCCTCTGTCCTCGAGTCTCAGTGATTGGCTTGCCTTTTTGTCCTTGGTCAGTCTCTCTGGGTTACCATATCTCCCTGCCAGTTTCTTCGTTGTGTCATGTAGTTGTTTCATATTCTCTTCTCTTGCAGCTTTTTCCTCCTTCGTTGCTAGTTCTCCCATGTATTTCTGCTTGTGGGCTTTAATGCCGTCCTTCACTTCCTTGTTTGCACCTGCGGACTCTGTTTGTGCCTTGACTATCTCTGCTCGTGTTCGACTGTTGTTGAGTGCTGTCTTCTTGTTATTCCTTTCTTGCATATTGTCCAGGGTTTCTATAGAGAACCATTCCTTATGATGATGCTTCTTGAGACTCAGAATCTCCTGACACGTTGAAGTTAGTGCTTCTTTGATCCCTTTCCAGTTGTCCTCCATCATAGTTTCTTGTTCTTTCAGTAGATCCTGTAAACTGAGGAACCTGTTGTTGAGAGTTATCTTGAATTCATTGAGTTTGTTAGTATCTCGAAGGAAGGCTGTATTGAACCTTTGTAATTCTGTTTCTTCAATTGCCCAATGCTTCTTTAGCTTCAGTTTGATGCTGACAGCCACCAAGTGGTGATCTGAAGCTATGTCAGCTCCTCTCGTGGTCCTCACATCTTCCACTGACATTTTTAATTTTTGTTGATGCAAATCTGATCTATCTGGTTCTGTGGTGTGGTATGATGAGGTCCATGTAGTTTTGTGTCTGCGTTTGTGTGGAAATATTGTGCCTCCTATAACCAGTTTGTTGAATGCACATATATTTGAAAATCACCCCATTTTCATTTTTCTCTCCTATTCCATGTCGTCCAATTATATCTCTAGATCCAGTGTTGTCCACCCCAACTTTGGCGTTTAAATCTCTCATCACAATGGTGAGGTCCTTTCGTGGGCACTTCACTATGATCGATTGCAGCCTCCATAGAACTGATCCCTAATGTCGTCGTTGCTATCATTGGTGAATGCATAACATTGGATAACATTCATTGTGATCCTCTCCTTGTTTGTTTTGAATGATGCTTTGATGATCCTCGATCCATGAGATTCTCATCCTATAAGTGCATTTCGTGCTTGTTTGGACATCATCAGAGCTACTTCCCGAGTGTGTGGAGCATGTTTCTCTTCGTGACCAGAGTACAGCAGCATCTCTCCCGTATCTATCCTTTGCTGTCCAGGTTGGGTCCAATGAGCTTCGCTGATTCCAAGTACTGTCAATTTTTATCTCCTCATTGCCGTTGCAATTTGACTGGTTTTCCCGGTCTTCCACATTGTCTGGACGCTCCATGTACATACAAAAGATGTTGCTCTAGTTGTTAGAAGGGACATCGGTCTCGTGACTTCCGAAGAAGCTCGGCTTTCATCGTGAGGCGTCATAATTCTTCCTTCAACTTCCAGGACAGAGCTTAAATGGTTTAAATTATATATTCTAATTAGCGGTTTTTTAGCAAGGTTGATTTTTACGGGATAAAATTGCCGACATCATGCCCAACCCTCCTCCTTCACCCGGCATTAGGCCTTGAAGAATTACAGGCGAAATTATTTCAATCAGATGTGATTATTCCAGATTTCGTATTTTTGTGCTGCCTTACTCAAGTGTTGATGACTTCAGAACTATTGGTGGGTTAGGGTATGAGGTTAGATGTCATTTGAATTTAGTCTTTGCAGAGAAAACTTGCCAATAACATTTGAGCAAAGATTTTTCTTTTGTTTTAGTTCAAATAAATACCGGTGGTTGATTTACGCACCACTACCTGATGATCTCGCAAGGTTTTTTTATGGCTATATGATGAGTTGTCTCCGGACTCTAATTCCATAGCTGTCTAAAATGTAAAATGTTTTAGGTATTCAATCACTATTTTAATAATGACTCAACTAATAAATTCCTTTAAAAATTATATCACTCTTTAGATTTATTCTCAACAATGAGTAGAATTAGGACATCTCTTGAAGTTTTAAGTCTTGGATTTGGATTGTTCACCGCAGAAGCTTTGTATTCTGGAAATGAGCACTTTTATAAAGATTGGTTTTTACCCACTGCCCGTCTGTTAGTCCGTGATGGTGAAACTGCCCACAATTTATCAGTTTACTTAGCAAGTTATGGTTTTATACCACATAAACAACGAAACTCATTCCCTCAACTCAAATGCAAAGTTTTTGGACTTGAATTCGATCATCCCATAGGATTAGCTGCAGGTTTTGATAAAGATGGAAAGGCATTTATGGGTCTCTTAAATGCAGGATTTTCACACATTGAAGTTGGAACTGTCACGCCGAATCCTCAGCTGGGTAACGCACGTCCTCGTATATTCAGATGGACCGAGAAAGAAGCGGTAATAAATCGGTAAGGATAATTTTTTCCTCTGTAAAGTAACTGTGTGAATCTGATTAACAAAAGATCGCTTCAGATACATTCTCGGATCAAAGCATTTTTAATCTTTTTACCGTATGTCTCTAAATCCCTGTCTTAGCAACAACCCCACCCTAAGCATGTATTTCCTACAATTACGGCTACTTAGGTAGTCGTGAACCAACTCCATTGGATCATTTTGCTTTGCAACTGCTAGTATAATTAGGTATGCAGAATTTTATGATGAATAGTAAGAACGTAATATGCCTAACTGCCGACTACTTTTTCGTATGGTCATACCAATTAGAATTTTTCTCCCTTAAGATCCATAATGTAGAGAATTTTGTAGCCACTTATGGCTTTTGGTGTGATAGGAGTGTTGTGTCCGTCTAACGCAGTCTATTCACCATGAACCGTCCAGCATTATTCTTTTAGCACCTCATAACAACCTTATCTAAAATATGATTTACTCAATCTATTGTAATGAACAACTCTAAATGGAAAGTTCTATTAGGCAGATAATGATATTTATAAATAATTTATGTACATACTAGCCGAATCAATATTATCGTAAGTATTGATCTTTGTTTTATTGCTTAGTTGGCATTATTCTATTTGTCTCACTCTCAGTCCTTACACCTACGTGAACTCACGGTCTATACTTCTTACATTTAAGCTTTTATAAACAAACGGACATCACCTACTTTGAAAACCTGGTTCAAATGTGTGTCTGCTCGTGGCCATACCAGATTAGCATGGCGAGTTAAAAATAACAGAAGAGGTCGAAATAATGTGGTAACAATGATAAGATAGAAGACTAATTCTTGGGAATATGGTTTGAAAAGTGATGTACACTACGCTAATATATTCATGACTTCGACCCCAATATAATGAATCATACTGCTCCTATCCTTTTCGTCCCTTCCCAGCTAACTGGAGAGAGAAGTCCGACTTCGTAATGAAAACTTCAATGACGACTCTAATATAATTAAAAATACACTTAAAGTTATTCGGTTTCACATCAGTTACAGTAATTAGGACTTGTGAATTAAGTAATTGTCATTAAACACAATTGTGGTAAACGTTTATTGAAAGTTTACAATTCATTTAACAAAAATGTGTTGAAGTTGAGCTTACATTCACTTTAATCGGCATCGGTTTCCTTCCTCATAAGTTGTATTTAAAGATGGCACATAAAAAAAGACATATTGTAAATGTATTTATGAAGGGATACTGTAATTCATGATAAAGAGTAAATGCAACTGCTGCATTGTAAACTATTTTAAACTATATCACCCAGTCTTCAACCACAGTTCACAGTTATCATATGGACCCCAACCAGGTAGTATACGTCTACCAACATGGTTCAGACCTAAACTCAATGAATTCATGCATCAATGCCGTGCTTTTGTTTATCCGTCCTTAACTTTCTTTCAAGCTACTTCTGCACCACCAAACATCGCTGTTTGGCAATAGTTGGTCCTATGTAACATATATCCTAACCGTATCAATCAATAATTTCCAATCTCATCAACCGGTTTGTGACTCGCCAATTACCCTATGTCTAACCTCAACTTTGCCCACTCGGTTGTTCCATAAAACGCCAACAGTGTTCCAAATACACCTATGATCCTAAACCTCCAGTTAACATATGTCTACTTCCACAGACCATGTTTTACAGCCATAAAGTAAAATAAGGAAGACTGTCAGACACTATAGATATCGTTTGATTGGGAGATAAATATTTTAACTCGGTCTGTAACCCTCCTAAGGTTACTGCCAGTCCCAATCCCGAATAAAAGAGCAGGGTTGAGCATGAGGTCATCAACTTCATCCCGTGGAAAAAAGACTCTAACCATAAAAAATCATTTAAACCACTTGAACTCTATCATAGTTGAAGAATCTCCATTTATAATAGTTATGATCCCTCATGATGAAAGCCGAGTTTCTTCGGAAATCATGAGGCCAGAGTAACAATTATTATAGGTGCATGGAATGTCCGAACAATGTAGGACACCGTAAAGACCTGTCAAATAGCTGTGAAAATGAGGAGATAAAACTTGGTGGTTCTCAAAACAATTGAAACCCATTGGGCCCAAGCTGGACAGAAGAGATTAGCATCGGGAGAGGTGCTGTTGTACACACAAGTCATTGCACTGATCCCCTCAAGAGAAGCACGAAAAACACATAGGGTGGGGAATCTCATGGATCCGGAATCACCAAAGCACCCTTCAAAACATGTCATTAATTCAGCTGTTGAAGCAGAATATTCCTAAAGCAACACGTCGCATTTGGAGAGGGAAAATGCATCCCAAACATCCTAGTATTGTTGCTCAAGGCGACCAAAAGACTGGAATCTGTCAGTCTCCACGAAACACGACTGTCGACTGCGTATTCTAAGCCGATAAATAAACATTCTAGGCGGAGGTCACCCCTTAAAAATTTAGGTGGTTTTATTTCAAAAAGGACATATATGATGAAGTTAAATAAAAAGGGGGATAGTGGGCAACTCTGAAGAACACTTGAGGTTGATAATTTTGATTACGGTTCTCACACTCGACCAATAGTGTTCATGTAGGACGGTTTATATACTTACTTGATACGCCATTCAATGACTAACATTTCCACTGAACCACCTAGTCAACAGGGTCAAATGCCGCCCCAAGGTCAAGGAACACCACTGTAGCTGAGCGTCCCCCTATGCTATAAAATCTGACGGAAAGTAAATAGTTGATCTACAAACCCACTTCTGGGTCTATAACCAGCTTGTTTTTCTCGGGTTTGCTGCTCACGATCATTGCGTAAACTTTTTTTAAGTTTACGTTTGAGTTGTCATCGCTTTTTTGTGTGTTCTGAGCCTGTTAGAATGAGTTTTCGAATATCTACCAATTCAGTTGACGCCCCTGAAATCCATTAGTCTTCCGTAACTTTATGATTCAAGTTGTCGGTAGATATCACCTCTGTATTTGCGGCTGCGTACATGTCTTTCCAGGATAATTTGTTCTTTTACGATCGACTAGATGTTTAGCCAATTCTGTGCTAAGTGTATCCTTGACCTTCTCATCTTCGAATTAATATCTAAAGAACCTTCCTTCTCTGAGTTGCTTAAATCCAGTTAAATCCGTGCTCCCACTAGAGCATGATCAGAGTCTAAGCATGTACTCCAGTTGGAGTGGCAGTCCTCTATAGAGCCTCTCCAGCTCTGGTTGATGGTGATATGATCTACTCGTGTCCATCATAATGTTGATGTTGGGGGTTTCCAAGTTATACATTGTTTTTGTCTATGTCCAACGTTTGTACTTACTAGTAATAATCGGTTGTTTCAGCAAATGGTCACCGGTATTTATTCTCATTGATAGAAGGCCATAAGACCCAAATAAGTGTTTTTATGCTTGATTTAATCTATCGACTCAGACTTTTAAATCACCCACTATGACCAATGCATCTGAGCTTCTGGCTTTCTGAAGATCATGAAGTTTCCTGTAAACTCATATTTTACTCCATCCGAGCTGCGGTCAATGTGGACATAGGTAGGAATGACGAAGAAGCAACCGCATACGTTTCTAACTTTATGAGTTCTTGTGCCAGTGAGATGGGCGGCATACAAGCAACTATCTATAGGAATCTAGTCAGCAAGCGTTTGTCCAGCTTTTGACTTCGTGCTTTTCCTACACCGGCAAGACCACGAGAAGTTGCTGTTGGTTCTCCAGATACACGAAAGGTATATTGAGTTGGCTCTGTGTACTGTCTAGGTAAAGTCGAGTAGATCCTCATACTAGGATTCTGTATCCGTGTTTTGGACACACAGAATACATCTATAGCATGAGACTCTAAGGCATCAGCTTGTAACGCTTGTTGTTCAATTTGTGATAGCGTTCGGACATTGTAAGCTCTAACACAATTTAAAGCGCAATATCAAAAGACATGGGATGGCATATTGTGAACACAAATTGTTATCATTAGTAGCACATTAAAGAAGTCAAATACATAAGATGAGTGTTGACAATAGGAGTCAAAGTGATATTTATTAATAATGGTGTTCGATTATGAATAAGACGATCTCGCGTGTTGTTAGAACTATGAGGGTAGTCACTGCCTTTCGAGTGCTCACATTAAGGAGACTTATTTTTCCTTGAGAGACTTGAAAAGGAAACAGAATTAGTGGTGGTCTTAGAGACTTGGAAACGCAGATGCTTTGACTCGTTTAGACGAAAAATACCGGTATTTGGAATAAATTATATCTTTAGGTTGTGACGAAAACATAAATTGTACCTATGCTTTCGACATAAAGCGGATACTTCATTCTTAGCATACATACGTATGATAACGAAATAAGATGGCAATTAATTCTGCTTCGGTTCGGGCACCTGAGAAGTATCCTAGCCCTCACACAAATCGAATGATTTATATGGCGCATATCTATTTGGTGCCTCTTTGTACCAATGTTTATGTGTTTAAATAAATAATAAATATATATTCGGTACATTACATAGCGTGCTGTTAATGTTGGAGTCTTTTACATTTAATATAAGACGTACCACGTACGTTTTTATGGACTGACTTTGAGATAAATCTGTCGTGTATCTCAATTTTACTAATTGATTACCGCAAGCATAATGGGTCGAGCAGGTTTCTAACCCTCTAACTAATATTTCGTAAGCAAACACTAGCCCACTGACCGGCAATTTTTGCCATCTCCGCTGCCTTCATACATTGAACCAGTTCTCCTGTCGCAATAATCGAATCAAGCTATATTATCTGTATTGTATTTTCCTATGTGTTACTAGTCTTATTCATTCATTTTCCATCCTGTTATCATCTCAGATGTGGGTTTAACAGTGATGGACATGATGCTGTATATGAAAGACTCAAAGATCGTCCATGGGAAGGTAGGCTAATTGTAAGTATACTGATTTTAATAAATTTAGATATTCCTTCATATTTTTGTCATTGTATTTATTATTCATAGAAAGCTTTCATTCAATTGATTTTCTTTCCTTACTCTTCTAAATTTGTTCGTAAATTCAAGTTTAATGATTGTTCAAAGTTTGCGGTTTTCATGTTAATCATGTATGTATGCTAACTTACTTTCTAAACTGTTTTAACAGTCAGCTTCATTTATGAAGCTCTGTCCATCCACGTAGTTCCAGTGCCGTACACACAATATGTGAGCATTCACGTGGATGTTGTGTATATGTAATAACTAGTAAGGTAGCTTATTATATATATAACATTTCATCATTTTAACCTGTTTTAGGACGTGGTGTAATTGGTGTCAATTTGGGCTGCAATAAAACAAGTGCAGATCCAACTGCTGATTATGTGGCAGGTGTTCGGAAGTTTGGCGAAGTAGCTGACTATTTAGTAATCAATGTATCTAGTCCAAATACCCCAGGATTACGCTCCCTACAGACTAAGGAAAAATTACGCGATCTCTTATCTAAAGTAAGTTTAGCACATACCGAATACGGATATTGTTGTTTATTATAAATGTTTAACTCACCTTTCCATAAAATTCCAGCTTCGTTTGGTGATGACATTCAGGCTTAATCTCAAATAGCTCAGTAACTTGGAGCAATCTCAACAGTAATGCTGTTGGAACTTCCTGCTTTGCTCCTTGTGATGAGTAAGCTTTACTTTTGTAGAAAATAAACTATATATTATTCATGTTCTTAAACTACATGTTCACATACTTTACTCTTCTGATAATAATACAGCTTCTTCTCTATCATTTAATCATAGAAAAGTTTGGGTTTTTTTTTGTAATATAGGTCAGTCAGTCATCTACAACGTAGAACCAGGCACATATACGCGTCGGTCCAAGTTGCCACATCTCATTAGCACAACAAGATGAACACCGAATTCATAGTTAGTTCAATTGTGGTAATATATAAAAGAAAGATTGTTTATAAGGATATGATACAATGAGAAAGGATTAGTTCGTAGAAAGAAAGCTATAAAGTAATTTTAATCTCTAGGTTTAAAGGAAGATAAAGAGTGTATACACCTGCGCCATTGTGATCGATTCTAAGCCATGTCACCTATAGTCTCCAACCATTGGTTACGATAGTCACGCGGACCCCAACCAAGTAGTTTGAGTCTGCCAACATTGCTCAGACTAGAAGTTAGTGACTTTATGGACTGATGCCACGTTTTAATCTAGCCGCCTGTTACTTTCTTCCATTTGTCCAACACTAGTCAGCATTGCGCGTCGTGGTAATCGGTGTTCAGGCATACGTAACACGTGGCCCAACCATCTCAGTCGGTGAAGATTCATGACCTCATCAACTGATTTACCACCATTCCCTAATACTCAGTGTCTAACCTCACTATTACTTACCTGGTGATCCCAGCAGAAGCGAGCAATATTTCTAAGGCATCTGTAATCAAATACTAGTAACTTACGATTATCTTCTACTCTTAATGGCCGCGTTTCGCAACCGTAAAGTAGAACAGGACGAACTGCTGCGCAGTATACTCGTTCTTTTATTCATAGACGGATATCTCGCCCTCACAATAGGTGACGCAAGTTGGCAAAAATCAAACGAGCGTTTTATGATGTAATGCATTCGTCTGTAGCCCATCATGTAAAAAACCAAGTAATTAACTTGATTTCACAGTGAGTTAAAACATACAGTGTTTATTGAAAGCAATATCATATTGAGAAATACTTAAATTGTACATTCTCCCAGTTTAGTAGTTCGTTTTGATTGTTCCTACTTGTCATTGAAATTTGTTTAACACTGCCATAGGAATAAAAAAACAGTATTTATTTTTTATTATTCAACAGAATTTCTTACTCTATTTAGGCTTAGTATTATGAAGCTCTTTATAAGATGGTCATGTGTTGATTTCCTCTGTTCAGCTGAATGAAATCGCGGATGCTTTATAATTCCAGTTGATATTCATATCGGTTATATAGATGTATTTATACTTTTCATGACTAATTTTATCAGTCTACTGTATTTTATCAATTTATAAACATTGGATGACTTTTACTTAGTTTTGTTTGTTTGGATCTTCCCACTGATGTTTTTGGACTGCCACTGGTTAGTCTCTAATTGGGATATGTGCATACTGTGCGTATTGCCTCGATATAGCCTAAATTCACAAGCATAGTAAGCAAAGATGGATAGTGGCTAGCAGTGGAATCCAGGACGCGCGTTTCTTCCTTTTTGGGACTCGTCAGCTGAATGTACTTATCAGGACTCAGTGGCCGAGTGGATAACGCGATGGCGTTTGAAGCGAAAGGTACCGAGTTCGAGTCCCAGGGCGAACATCAACTCTGAGATGCGGGTACATCCAGCTGACGAGCCCCAAATAGGACGAAACGCGCGTCCTTAATTCCACTGCTAGCAACTATCCATCTTTGCTTACCATGCTTATTGAATGACTTTGTATATGAAATATTAAAATGATAATCCTATCAGTTTGATTATTATTATTGTTCAATACTTTTCTTAAAACGAACTTATATTTGACATCAGTTTTCTATATTTCTTGTTCTAATTGCAGTTGATTGGTACGTCATTAGAAATAATTTTACAAACTTAGATATTCAAAGTGTTATTATATACTACTCAATAACTTTATCAGTAAATAAAATGGTGTAGGCTTTTTTTAATTTCTGTTAGATCGCATATATTATGGGATTATAACCAGATTTACTTAATAGTTACGCTACCTAAAATATTGAGTATGTTACCCAATAAAAATAATTCATGAATATTTTATTTTGAAAATAAACTCTTCATAGGTTCTAGCAGCCCGAAATCAATTGTCGAAAAAAATTCCTATTTTGTTAAAAATCTCTCCAGATGAAAATGACCAAAATTTAAAGGATATAGTTGAAGTCGCTTTGGATTCGAAAGTAAGAATATTTATATGTAATGTGTAGTTCACTTGTTTTGATTATTATAATATTATATCCCTAAATAGTTAAAATATCCAATGAAGACTATAAAATCCAAGTCAAGTAAATGATGCTAAGCATTTTGAATCAAAGTCATCAATAATGCTCTCAAAATCATGAAAAGCTTTTGTGTAAACCTGTAGATCTGAAAAACTTGCTTAATCACAATGTACTAACATTTTTCGAAAAAAAAGGCTTTATTCCTTTATAATCTAGTAAGTCATATATATCTATATTCAAGGTCCATGGAATATTTGTGGTATAACGGATTGTTTAAAAAACTTTTTCTCAGGTATATTACGATAAAACGTTAATACAACGATAAGACTAGTCACGTTATGCCAGAATCAGGATTCACGACTCAGTATAGAGAACCAGATTAACACCAGATGGTACTTTATTAAATATAATTACAAACATACACTATCAGCCAATCCAGAGTAAAAATCAATGACAGGAAGGGAAACCACATATTTAATATTCAATTAAGCTGCCTGTTTGTTCACACTCAATCACTTATCATATTTTATTTTCACTACCACATTATCACTTTGTATGAACTTTTTTCATAGCTATAATCAAGTTAATGGTGAATTTTTAGTAGAATAGTTTAGGAAACTAACTTTCTGTCAATAAATTGTTCATCAAAGCTAATTTTAATTTGACTCCTGACGATTGATATCATGTTTGCATAGTTTCTGTTGTGTCTGGGGTCTTCCTACCTATACTTGATTATCGGGTACCATTGTAATTTCCATGGTGTGGAGTGAAAACACAAAATATGATACAGATATAGACTCTCTAAAACGAGACCTCTAAACAGGTTGTCCGAAGCTGTTATTGTTAAACCAAATATATTCATACACATACTGATTTCACCATTCACTTGTTGATTAGTCGATAAACATCATATGAATGAAACGATACAGAGTTACTACAAAACAGAAAACTTTCAATGAGAGTAATACGAAGAATGTAACTGTCACACTGGGCGAAATTTCACACCTATCATACTGATACAAACTTTTTGACCAGAAGGTTAATAAACTGAAATCGTCTTAAAAACCGATTGTAGAAGAAACTACCATTGATGTTAAGTAATTGCACACAGGTTCGAACCCTGCTCCTTGATTACTTTTGTATAAACATCCAGATAGTAGCACTAACTCTAACACAAATTATGACTCAAAGGCAAGTACATAAACCTACACTTAATGAGTAATTTACTAATAATGACTTAGGTTGTTTCCATATCATTTCATGCATCCATAATTAGCATTACACATTTCTTCAATTTTTAGACTCGAATAGATGGTATGATAATTTCAAACACCACACTTGCAACTTATGAAGAGGCTGTAGCTTGCGGTGCTGCTCCAATACCAGGGAACAATGAACAAAATGTTGTATATGGTGGCTTAAGCGGCCGACCATTATTTGAAAAATCAACAGATTGTTTAAGGAAAGTTTCTGCATTAACCAAAGGTGCTATACCCCTGGTCGGTGTTGGTGGTATCAACTGCGGTGAAGATGCATTGTCCAAGTTAAATGCCGGTGCTAGCTTAGTGCAATTATATACAAGTTTTGTTTATCAGGGACCGCCGGTTGCTCATAAAGTCGCTAGAGAAATTAATAAATTGAAAATGACATCTTAAGCTCTTAACTAAAAACGTGCTTTTTCTTTCTAGTATAGGAATATTTGTGTTACATTGAAATAAAAATGATTTATACATTATCTTAAATCCAGTTTATTTTGGAAACAAGACTAGGTCAAATTTATTCTAACAAAAATGTTTGAGTTCTTTGTAACAATATACTCTCACGCTCAAACAGTAATGTGATAGCTGTTTTGTTTCAATCCGCTACTCATTAACAATTCATGTACTCAGACGGCTGTATTACACTTCTTGATTCTCAATGGACTTTACAGTTGGTATCACCTCGTAATGCAAATTATCATCAGACTAATCGTATTGCTGAGAATTGCTTTCGTAAATTATGTACTTGATATTGAGATGGAGGATATCTGTAACTCAGATTGACGATTTCAGGTGTTGTGTGTGCACTAAAACTACTGAGCCTTGCTTGATCGTATCGAAGTTCCGCTGATTGATGCTCATACGTTAGTATTCTTTGGGGCGAAACAAATGAGAGGTACACCCTATTCATTATTTGTTAATACCTAGACTTCATAACATTAGAGTTGCTTAAGACATTGTTATTCCATTTGCATCCAATACTTGTTCACAATTATTGATCAGTATTAGCAAATAATAAATGGGATATACCTCACAGTTGTTTCGCTCCCATAGTCTTCGTTTCGAATCACAACTAATCAAAATTCCCATAATTTCCTTGAAGAGATTCGAGCCAGGTTACCGGGAGAAATCTTGCAATTACTTAAACCTTAATCCCTCTTATTTTTCGGTGTTTTCTGCGTATTTGACCCAAAATCTCTGTCAAACTATTTGTTTATATAAGGAGTAACTATTGTGTGCAGTCACCAAATAAAAGATCGTTTACTCATATTATTTATTTTAAGTCCGTCTAATATATATTTAGTCCGCTTTTACATCCTACTTTAAATAACACCATATAGCTTAACTAGTTCTCATTTTCTTGAAAAGGTGTTATTAAATGGACACTAAAAATTTATAAACCTACCGGTTGGTGGTAAACATCGAACAAAGTGAGAACATGCTCAATGGTCATGCGAAAAACTATTGATCATTTGTTGTTTTAATTAATTGGTTCGAAATTTCTATTACTTGAGAAATTAAACGATAGATTTTTCTTGGCTCTATTGTGTTGTATGGTAACCGCCAAACAACAAAAGAGATATGAGAATTAATAAAACAAAGCAACACAGTGATTGGTAGTTTACAACAATGTTCCAAATAATTTCATTATTTATATATAAAAGACAAATAAACATTAGTGTCGATAGTGATAATAATGATAACAATGACTAGAAATAATGAACAAAGAAAATAGGGAAAAGGAACGATGTCTTTACATGGTGTATGGGGAGAATTACCTGGGATAAAAATTACAAATATATAATTACCATTAATACTACATTGTTCAAATAGATTTCAGCTCACAGAGATAAAACAAAAAAGAGAAATTACAATGTGACAAATAAACAAACAGAAACGCTGTGTTAAATAAATAAATGATGATATAATAATTATTATGACGGTGATGATGACAGTAAATGCCTATGAGATATCTAAAAAACAAATTGGCATTAAACAAAAGTTTAAAAAAATAGTTCTGAAGCAATGTCAGCAAAATATAATAACAAATCAATAGAACTGCACGATAAACTGAATGGAAGAATCTTTTCCATCCCCCAGCAAAAACGGCAACAATAGATATCTTTCAATGTTACATAACAATAACAAAGATAATAAAAATTGTTAATTATTGCTGCGATTAAGATTAACACAAGTAATAGTCTATTTTACAAAGATTTATGACAGTAAAACGAGAAGAAAGAACAAACTGATTTATGAAGGTAAGATATATATTGTCAAAAGAGAAGTCTCATCAGTGATGATGAATGTCAGGTCCAGAAAACAAGAGTACTTCATTGTACATATCTTTTTTGTGCTCAGTGTTTATTTCTTTTTTCAATCCAATGAATGTTTCTCTGAAAAATGATCCAAGTAAGGCAGAAATGAGTATGTTAAGGGTGAAAACAATAAACTAGAACTGGCTACAATCCAAGTAGACCAGTTCATCAACCAAAAAAATGTTGAGAGGTGAACTGATTTTGTTCACCGAATTTCTACAACCAAGTAAGCTACTGTTTGCGATCCTTCACTATCGATACGAATAAACTCACCTGAAAGAAAAAACGAGAGACTTAACATTTATTATTCAGCAGTCACCAACTTTAAACAATCACTTATCACAAAGGTGTAGTTGGACAGAGATCCATGTTTTTTGGTTTAAAAAACTATTTACTTTCCAAAGGGAAACACAAACTACATTATAGCAGCAGATTTTTATTTTTCACAAAGCTGATGGTTTATAGTAGATAAATGATTAAGTCACAAAATTTTCTAGGTGTTTAATAAACAGCAATTTTATTTAGAGACAAGACTGAAGGATGTAAAAATAATAATGATATGTCATTGGTATCAGCAATTCTTTGTCACCATAAAAAATGGTGTAGTGAATAGAACACTAGTGGGGACAATCGAATGTATTTAGACAAAAGTTACAGACTATCTCACTAAATTCTGATAACCATACAATGAACAGTTAATTTGCATTTTCCCACCAATTGCGCATCATTTCAGTTCTTTCCTTATCGGTCTTCTGCCAAAATACATTCTATGTCTGACCATCGCCATATGCTACTTATATGGATATAAGTAGACCACACTACGATGGTACCGAAAAGGAACTGATGAAACATAACCTATACCGTACGTTTTACAAAGCTAAACAGCTATTTTACACTGAATTACTTCTCCAGGGTTTATGAGCTATTATTATTTAGTGATGAGATATATCGAGCAGACGACTAGTAATTTCCTTTGCTTATATATAAACTTGTAAACTACGTGGACGATTACATTATCCAAAGTAAATAATCCTATGTGCAACATTAAACTTATAATCCATGAAACGTTCTTAGAGTGACCTTCATGTGAATTGATGAGATCGGTGAATTTCTTTCAAACCGTCTGCCATTATGATCATATAACTTTGAGTGTATTGTATGTAATAGGTACTTAAGAACTGATAAATTGATGCTGTGGATAGTTACATGTAACCTTTCAAGCCAACGTTTAGTGATCCAAAACGCCTTTCAGGGTTACATCAATAGGTGACAAATACACAAACACTCGAATGCAGAAAGTTTATTATCTCCGCATATACGAAGCTTCATCAAAGAATATTGTCTAGATGAACAATGAGGTATTCCATTCAACTATTTGACTAAGGATTAAACTATTCATCAGCTCCTTTCTGGTACGTATGGTCTGTTCGGTAAATATGCAAACTAACCCATCAAAATTGTTACTTTTAGAAAATAACTAAACAAACAGTCTTGCCGGAATACAACACCATTAATGACCTTGAAAAGTTTGTCTTATCCTAAAAGACCCCAATTATACTTCAATAACACAAAAAGGTAACAGATAATCCACTAAAAAATATTTCATAATATTTATGAACTTACAGCATAGAAAGTGATTCAATAGGAGATATTACCATTATGAATGTGAACGGATGAAACATGTTATCATTTGTTGTATCATTTCGCTATAGATAACAATCTTGATTACTTTATAATTAGAAAATAACTTGGAAAATGAACATGAAGCTGAATATAATGATATACTCTGAGTACAAAAGACATAATATTAAAACAAGGGAGGTAAATATATTCCAATCACAAATTCATTGAATATCAATTTTATTGATGTCTGAATGATGATACAATGGTAGTTGTTGTTGTTGTTGTCTTTGTATTATCATGATGATTAGAAAACACAGATTTCAATGTGTTATTACTAATATTATTCACGAACAGTGAAAAACCAGCCATATTTCGTACTGACGACTGATTACGAGTAACCTAAAATTTATAAGTAAACGTTAATTTTTACAAAAAACAAAGGAAAAACTCAAATAACAATAAACAAAAGGCTGACAAAGTGCTACACTATAAGTGTACGTAGTCATAATGGCCACATATTGGTTGTAGAAAAGTGCCTAGATTGTAGTGCTTGAACTATTCTCTAAGCTACTGCATTATAATAATGCTTAACGGATAAAAATGCATAACATTCCCCACATTCATCCCATAACGCACAAGAAAAATTGCTTTACTATCCGAAATGAAAAGATAAAAGTGGTGAATATTTTAGATAAAAAAAAGTTGGAATAGAAATATTCTCTACGAAGAATAAAAAACCTATAATTATTTATCACAAACTAACCTGATGCTATATTATGACTATAGAGTAAGATCGGTATTAAAAAAAGACTCCGAGACTATAATTTATAGACGAACCAATCATGTATAAGATGACAGGTTTTGGATTTTGGCGCAAAATTCACTTATCCATTCGGCAAAATATTGTTTTGGCATTATAGCTGATGTCAGTTCGTGACGAAAATCATAAATCTAATTTCTAGCCTTAACTATCAACTGTGAATCATAATTCTAATTCCTCACACTGGTTTATAACTTTCATTTGATCGTAGTTATTATGTCGATACTCTCAAGGTCACTAAGGCGTCGCTCAAAGGTCAACCATAAATTATAGTCTCACCAAAAAACTAGTATACCAAAGTGGTGATCGACCTATTATTCTACATTTTTTCAAGTTCTTTTTAATAACGAGTTTGTTCACGATAGTGACGTTAACACGGCAGTATGATATACAGCTAAGTTTTTTGTTTACAGTCTTAGTGATAAAAACTATCTAACAGTTACTTAATAGATAAAGGTTTTTGTTTTAGGGACTTCAAATCAAATTTATTTTATGAATGGTAAAAAAATATTATCAGTGACAAACTATTATTTCTCTACAAAGGTAATTGTATAGAATAAAATGATGCTTGAACATGTGATTTCATGACTAAAGACTTGATTATTACATCCATTAAGTCATTGCTATACTAGCAAAAAATAGAAAACAACACAGTCCATATGACTCGTATCTGAAAGACCTGTTATAACGAACGATTTGTCTCTGTATTTATCTTAAGCGGCCAAATCTTCAAATCTAACTACTTATTGTTTAATTATATCTGACTGGAATGAATATTTATTTGAATATGATAAGTCCTGTTAATGTAAATATCAGTGAGCAAGCGGATGTTGACAATCTAAGCCACAGTTACTGTATGAGATTTGAAAATGGATGAATCAGGGTTTCGGCTTATGAAACAAAAGATGAAATTCAAATACTTTAAAAAACACCAAACAGTAATAAGATAAAAATCAATTAAATTAATGGTAAGAAGTTTCATCACCCGTTCTCCATTGTTTTATTGTTGTGAAACATCACTTAGTAGAAGATATACATAGACTGCAAGTATTCGATAACAAATATCTGTTTTACTGTAACTAATTTTGAGCTATGTTGTTAATGTTCTATTTACAATTCCACATATAGATCAAACCAGTAATCCGTAAGTTTATAAATTGATTTATTTCAGTTTGAAAAACAACTGACTGTTAATGCTCTCAAGTCTTATACTGGTTCCTCAAATTATATATATATATATATATATATATATATATATATATATATATATATATTTGATTCAATACTTAATAAGTATCCATTTTTCCAATATCGAGAAAAACTATTTACTAATCAATAAATGTCCTAGTTAGATGACCATTAAATATTGTTCTGTTTGTTGACGATTTCTATGTCTACTTATCTGACACATTCATGAATTTACATTATTTATCTATTCATTGAAAAGATTGATATTTTATAGTGAAGTTCTAATTCATTTTAGCATTCTTCTACATGGACTAATAAAGCTTATTAACTCCAGATATTGATTGTTATTAAAAGGTAGCGGATATATACTGAGAAAAATCATTGTCTTTTGATGGTGAATATGTATTAAGGTAACTGTTCATTTATGCTGTACGTTGCTCAGTACCGGATTATTAAAAAAGTACCTACAACCATAATTGCGATTTCCTAGCACACTACTCATGACATCATAGAAAAACACTGAAGATTGTTACTTAGTTTACGAAATATTATTGGCAGTAAAACATAAAAGGGAGTGAAAAGATTTATGCATATTTAATGTAATATTAAAACGTAAGGAGTGTCAAAACAAAGAAATCTCTTTCACAACACTCAACCTGCAGAACCTCATACTGGAAAATTACAAGAAACACTTTGTGTGTTTCAGTTTGACTATTCAGAAATATAATGTAACTAATTAATTTTTTTTTAAATCAAATGTTTATGTTTAGAACGTGAAAATTTCCATTGAACTGAAATCAGCTGATGAATGAAATCACGTTACCTATCCTATCAAGTGGTGTTTTTGTTCAATTCGCCTCCTATTTGATTAATCTTATTTATATAAATAGTTGGTGAAATAGGCAATCAGTTAACTAATAATTTAGAAAATTTAGCCTGCAAGCAACTCTGAAGCGTATATCAAATGTAATACGTGTACTGAAAATAAATTTCAAAGAATCAAATTTTAGGGCATGTATTAATAGGATAACCATTGGATTCTAACACAAACGCTTAAAAAAATACCAACGTAAATTATTTCTAAGTTTATTCATTGGGCTCGGAAGCTATGTTGCAAACGTGTAGGGTAACAGTATTACAACCATGATACTGTTCAAGCAAAAGTAAACAAAGCGAGAAAAGTGGTGTGAACCCATAACTTATTATTTAAAAACCAACTGCGTTAACCATTAGCTTATTACTTTACAGAATTGATGGGAAGTTAAGCAATTATTATGAGTACATGAGATTTTTGTACCCGTGAACACGTTACTCTAAAAAAATGTGTAATATCAACATCGATAAATCCACTGAACGACACACACTTTGTAGGATAGGTTTCAAGTAGATCACAGCAGACTTCTAAACATAATGACTAGATCCATATCTCTAAATATTAGCTATTTGTTTGACTATCACAATTTTTCTCTTCCATTCTATCAAATATTCTGGTTAAGACACTCAAAATATAAATTATGAGAAAAGATGTTTCTTTTCGATCACTTCTTTGTGAAGTCTGTACAATAATATATAGGTTCTTAAATTAACTATAAAATCCATAAGTCTTGGTTATTTGAATCTTCCCATTGATGTTTAGGACTGCAAATGATCAGTCTCTTTCGACATATATGTATCCTGTGCGAATCGCCTCGATTGGAGTTTTAATTATAAATCGGAAGATCCAAACAACCAATACAAATGGATTAAACTTTATTCCACTTCACAAGTTAATGGCCATCTGAACTTAGTAGCTAAGTGAATAACGCCAAGGTGTTTGAAGAGAACAGAAATGGGTTCGAGTTCCTGAATGAACATTAACTCTGGGGCGCAAATAAATCCAGTTGGCGCGGCTGAAATAAGACGAAATGCGCTTCCTGGATACAACTGCAAGCCATCACCTATCTCTAACTATAAAATCAATGCGAAATAAGTAGTGGTATATCAATTTGGCAATGTATCTCTAATAGTAGTAATTCAAAGTCCATATAACAGGTTAGTTATTACAAGTAGTTACGTGAGAAGTTAAGTTTGAAACTAAACAGTTTATTATATCTTAAGTGTTATTCGTCAAATCCAAAATACAGAATTAATTTTCTATTTTCATCCGTTTCAATAAAACAAAAACAAAAAACAATCGTAACAGAATGATATAAATTAAAATTATTTCGTGTACTCTCTCCAACATCATACAATTTAGAACCGCTGTACATGCTTTAAATTATATAGTTGGAAGAAATCATCATCAGTGAATACATACAAAAGCATAAATAAATATGGAATAATTATAAAGTATTAAAATACTAAGTAATGTGAAAATACTAGGTGGAAAAATTGAAAACATAATCGAGATGAATATCCAGTAAAGTTAAATTATTGTCAACTGTCAAAATGAATAGAGATTGAACATAGAAACAAGTAAAAAAGCTCAGATATAAAAAAAAACACAAGAATCAACGAAGTGAATACAAATTCCTTGAGATTGTGAGCTAAGATTTCACCCAATTAAACAGTAAAAACTAAAGTACATAGCGTGAAAATATGAAGAAGACTGAAAACAGCATCTACTTTAAAGTGCATAAATTTGATTTTAACCTTTTAACAGAGAAAGCTTCAGAAATACCTAATCAATCTGAAATTATCTGCTTATTGATTAATATAAGGTATATTGAATGAAATATGTGATTGATTTGCTAAATAATAAACTAAACCCACTTATTCAACGTTAAATGTTAAACTATGATATTTTTTTCACTTAACAGTTAATTAAACACCGACATTTTATGAGAAACAATAAGGTAAATATCATACTGATATTCAGCTGACCCAAAATTACCAGATAAATATTCTAAACGAGTTAATATGTAACTTTGATTGGAAAATATTCATATAGCTATTATTGTAGTGAACGAAGACTTAATTGGGAAAACCAGTTTATTATTTAATGCAAAATCAAACAGTGCCTTTGTAAATCATGAAAAGCATACAGTAAGTACATTATTTGTATATCTCCCTTTAATTTTCCTTTACACGCTTCATTATTCTTTGATCCAGTTGTTATTTCGACTGCTATCCGTTTTCCTTTCTATTCTTTTTATTTCAATTTTCTCTTGATAAGCATTCAAGTTCCTATGCCTGTCACAAGCTACTTATGCCTGTCCGCATTAGTAGTGCACACCACATTACGATCGTTTATCATGCAGATACAAATAATGAAGTAAAATAACATGAATTCATTTTATTTCGTCAACTTCTCATCAACAGCTTACAAACCGAAGCAGTTATAGTGATAGAACAAAAAGAAAGGCCTACGTTCTATTCCAAGGACATATAACAAAAATTTTCAGGTCAATAGGATTAACAGCTTTTAACAGTGCCCTAGTAAAACATCTCTGTGACACAGAGCATCATGTTGATAGATTGCCCTCAAATGCTCTGGTACGGACGAGAGTGGGAAGAGTCAGCCCTCCCTCTCGAAATCCTCTCACATGACCACGTGCATACAACCGCTGATATGGAAGTCACACTCACTGCGTTCATGCGGTGGGGAAGTTGTTTATGAAATCGAGAGGACGAAAAGCGAATGTCCGACGCTTTAACCGGGTTAGTGGACACGAAAGATTCACGTAGGAGAGTTGAAAAGCCTTGATTTCAAACCGATAATGCACATGGGCCCCAGGATCCTGAGGGAACAAATGGCGTATGAACCAATTGTTGGTCACCTGTTACCAAAGGACTGCATCTCGTAACGTTGCTCCACTATCCTGTGGATTAGACCTTTAGGTCGAATGCTTGGGTGTGGCCCCCTAAGAAAATCCCCTACCTCGGTCTGGCAACCCGAGCAGTATCACAGCCCACACACAAATCAAGTAACTTGTGTGGTGTATATGTATTCGTTGCCGCTTTGTACCAATATTCATGTGTTCAAGTAATAATAATAAAGACTGGAATCTTTCAGCATCATCAATCCGGTCAAATTCCATTCTTCTCAAATTGACCGAAGTCATAGACATCAAACAACTCAAGATGAACATATGTATTCAAAACAAAATTGTTGTACACCTTTCCTTATTATGTTGACTTGATCGGCAGTTTATTATATCACTTCTTTCAAATTCATAACTTTATTATTTTCTCAGCTCATATTACTCTTAATTTATTTTATCTCTATGATCTCTTGTTACTATGTCTGATGATCTAGAATCTTCTCCCATGTATTATATTTATTTAAGACAATCTTTATGTGCATTTACTCGCATTACTCCACGATGATGATACATATCCAGTTTTAATGTGATAATTCTGTAAGCTTTACAATAAATTTTATTCTTTGTTTTAAATATTATAGGCTGTAAGCAGATGATGAGAACTTTACGAAATAAAATGGATTCATGTTCCCTTCAATTCTTTGTTCTTCCTCTCTGCAAGATGATATAGGGAACTAAATGTATAAAATCAATTAGACAAAAGTCAAATTTTCTACATAGGCTATTTTTATCATTCAGTAGTTATCCCCCAAAGTACATGAAGATCCACGTAAATCATACTTTATCATTTGTGATTACTGACAAAAGGATATATACATTATGAAGAAATCTTTAGTCGAAATATGTAATAAGCTTATCGCATTTACATCTAATATATGCAGTCAGTCAGTCATAGTCAACATAGAACCTGCCACAAATGTGAATTGACCCAAGTTGATGCACTACATCAGCACAATGAGATGATTATCAAAGTGGAAGTAAAAAAAGTTAGACAGAGAATATAGTTTGAGAAAAAATAATGAATTCAGATGGTTAAAGGTATAAAACAAATTTGGGACGCACTAACTAAGGGACGATAACGATTGAATGCATCTATGTTATCGTGACTGATAATGAGCCATGTCAACCAACATCTCCAACCTTTGGTTACGATGCTGGCAAAACCCCTATCAAGTATTCTGGACTTATCAAAATAGCTCAACTCATCAGCCAATGACTTTATGGACTGATCCGACGTCTTATTTTGGCCGCCTCCAGCTTTCTTCGTCAACAAACATCGCCAGCTGAAGTAAATTATAGTCAGCGACATGAAACACACGTCCTAACTACCTCAGTCGATGAAGATTTATAACCTCATCAACCAACTTCCTACTTTTACCCAGTACCTAGATTGTTTAGACATGCGCTATAAAATCAAAGGTTAGCAGTTTAGAAGAATTTGGTTTCGCAACAAACTGTTACAGTCTGTCAGTCAGTCACAACGTAGAAATTCGTACCTACGTACATCAGTTCCAGTTGCCATACCACATTAGCACAGAGATGCAGTTGTCAATTCAAATCCCATAGTGGTAGAAGTAGTAAGAGTATAAGCATTATGTGAAAGATTATGGTTTGAAGATGTTATTCAAGGAGTATAATCCAGTGAAATAAATTTGGAAGAGAAAAAAGAAAGGAACATGTAGGGTTCAGAAGATTAAAATCTGACAGAACACAAAGAGTGGATGCACCTGTGCCATTGCAAACGATTTTGAGCCATGTCGTTAAAGGTCTCTATCCATCGATTGCTACCATCTCGCGGATCCCAACCAAACAGTCTACACCTACCAACATGGCTGAGTCCACCAGTCAGTGACTTAATGGATTTGTGCCATGTTCTGGTCCTTTCAGTAGCAAACACTGCCACAGAACCTCACGATTAACAGAGTCAAATGGATTTATGCCACGTTTCGGTCTGGCCGCGCCTAGCTTTCCTCCGACCTACTCCTACACCGTAAAACAGCACGCGTCGGATCAGTCGGTGGTTGGGAATACGTAGTACGTGTCCCAGCCATCTCAACTGATAAAGTTTCACTACTTCATCAATCGATTTGCCATCCTTACCTAGTACCCGTTTCCTAACAACTGCATTACCTACTCGGTGGTCCCAGGATATACGAGCAATGCTTCGAAGACACCTGTGCTCGGAAACTAGCAGCCTACGAATATGCTCTACTCTTATCGGCCATGTTTTGCTGCCATAAAGTAGGACGGAACGAACAGCTTCGCAGTAAACCCGTCCTTTGCTTGCTAGACGGATATATCGCCTACGCCATAAATGACGCAAGTTTGTGAAAGCTAGTCGAGCCTTCTGTATCCGTGCTGGGACTTCGTCAAACACTGGACCACAAAGGCTGGTGAGACTCTCAAGATAAGTGAAGCGGTCTTCACGCTCAACTATTTCACTCCCTATCATTAGTTCTGGTGTCGATGTAACCCAGTCCTGAAGTAACATTTTGAATTTGAGGGGGAGAATCGCATCCCGAACATGCTTGCATTGTTGCTTACGGTGGTCAGATAACACTGCATTTTGTCAGCGTCTTCAACAAATAGAACTATGTCATCGGCGTATTCTAAGTCAACAATTGAGTCACAAACGTCTACTAGATAAAATGAGGCTTGTGACCTCTGGGATTGGCCTTTTTCTAACCCCCTACTATCGCTGTGGAAAACAAGTATCATTTTAGAAACTTACCTGACGAAAACACATTACTGTCGTCATACCCCAATGCAGTATAACTTGTTCCCAGAACATGAGTGAGGTGCTTTTAGTTTTACCGCTCCCAACAAACTTCACTGTCATTTTAGGATATAAATGGACAAGTGTCCCAGCCGATATAACTGGAATGTTACATTATGATAGGCAACCCCGACTACTGCGTCAAGGTACCATCTATAATGGGGTAACTTATGTCCCTTACATAAAAGATTAATTTATATCCATTAAATTAACTCCCAGGATGACGATGATGAAATATGAATCACGTCACATGTGAAAATACACAACGTATAAAATGCAGATAAGGTGATAGACATATACACATACATTTGAAAACGCTCAAGGATCCAAGTGCATAACTGATAAGGTCGAATATGTCAAAGTGTACAAAATACTGAAAAGATCAAAATGACTTCTGTCCAGAAACTAGAATAGTTTTAAACAGGTGTAATAACAAAAAGTCACAACAAGTAACAACAGTAATTTAATTTAATCCTGTAAAAGTGATAACAACTCATTATCTCAAGTAATAACTGGCTAAATTTACACGATACAAACGCTTAGGATAAAACTAGATTTTGATTATTGTCCGTACATTCATGAAACATCATTGAAAATATTTAACCATGAAAAAAACATCCGGTTGTGCGGTCCCCAAGATATAATACAGATTAACAGAAAACAAATTTGTAGTACTGCTCTGTGACACAGACTAGAAAACCAACATTCTTCAGGTTGAGATATATTAAACATGCAGAAAAAATACCACATACTTAAAAAAGTACTTACAGGTACTTGTTGCGTTTCAAAACACAATGATCCCGTCAAATTATTATTGCCTGATAAGTTAGATTTACTATGTAATGTTGAACTGCAGTTGTTCATCGTCGACATAGACTTCTTTGGTGTAATAAAAGGGGGAAGATAAGACTCGAATGGAGGCGGAGGGGGAGCACTTTGTGGTACAGATGAAGCTGGTGTTGTAGACGGAGATGAATTTGGATGGGTTTCCAATGAAAAACGATGCCCAAAAAATTTCAACTGAAAATACAAAATAGTGCAAGAATAATGTGTAAGATAAAAACGTCGATAAACAGATTGCTTGTTAAATACAACGACTGAATGGGCTATGACTTAATAATTAACACATTTAATGATCAATCAAATAGGATGCATACTTGACGTGACCATACCTAGTTTTTTTTTTATTTTGTTGTATCTATGATGTATGCACAAAGAAGGTATTTTAATTCATCATCTTGTCACCTGTTGCTAATATTCTTTAAATCATCAACATCGGGGTAAAATCCATATAAAAAAATTAACACCAGATTAAACTTTAATTATATAGAAAAAAAACTACGACTTGAAAGTAAAACAATTCTACATAACAGAAAGGCATAGTTATTTATAGATCTATAGGATTGTTTCAAGAATCAATACGAATATATAAATAGTTTAGGAAATCCAATGAAGCTATGATATATGTTATTACGTGTATGTACAACGTAGTCTATTTTGCGTAATTGTAAGGATGTAGGACATAGTAACTCAAAACGACATGGTTAGGTTATCAGTATTCGATCTTAGGTGTGTTCAAAGAATAGTTCACATAGGATGAAGCCACCCAGGAGAATTGTAAGGACTACGGATTAGGCAGTGACTGGGTTAGGAATACAGTACAAGGTATGGTAAACAGATTGATGAGGTGAGAAATCTTCATCAACTGAGGTGGCTGGGACAGAAGCTACACATCCCCAATCAACGCCTGCCTCAACGAGTAATGCTTTTGGGTGCAGGGACAGGTTGGAAAAAAGCTAAGGGCGGCCAAACCAAAATATGGAATCAGTCTATGAAATCGCTTACAATCAGACTTAGCCATGATAATAGATACAGACCACACCGGTTGGGGTCCGCGTGATTATCATAACCAATGGTTAGAAACTATTAATAGTATGGCTCAAAATCGTTTGCAATAGCACAGGTGCATCTATTTTTTGTCTTCCCCCAAATCCTGAGATTTAAAATTCCGCATAACTTCTTTTCTATTGATTTCGACAATTTATATTTTCTTTTCGAGTCATACCTTCGATGTCTAATCTTTCCTATTCTCACTGATACTGTTACTAACTCTACTATTCTAGGATTTGGTCTGACAACTTCATCTGTGTGATAATGGGGTATGGTAACTTCTATCGATGTACACACGTACAGGTTCTACGTTTTGACTGTCTGAAGGACAATATAAAATGTCTTATCCTTTGAAAAATATGGAGTTAATTAATTTGAATGAAGTTCTTCGGAAAATCGGGGAAAATCATAGTAATTTGGATAACACTAGTTTATGGTAGTTTCAAAATCATCGCCAAACACCTATTTCAAAAATATTTCTCTAGCTTTACTGCAACTCAACAATCATGTGAACGTTTGCATATAAGACGCTGAGTTATATAATAATTTATATAATTTATCACGACCAAACCACCCAGCTCAGAGAACAAACCAACATCAAAATAATTTGTCTGAAGCCTAACAATACTAATCTCTTAGTCGAACAGAATTGAAACCTGTAACAGAAAAGTTGATAGTGAGGCGTTTCAGTCATTAATTTTCTATTTCCGTTCTTGGGTATACTATATAGAACATGGTAAGATTGAGTCAAAAAAATTTCATGATTTTATTTCAACTGGATTATGTTAACCACGACATTTTTTCATGGAAATCGAGAAATAGTCAGGTGCCCACCAGAAGACCTAAAATGTACTGAACTTTCCTTACACGATATAGATTGTGAGGACTACTGGTGATAAGACTCGAATTTTTAAAAAAAACTAATTAAGCACTACTTGCTAATTTTTAAATGTATGAATCCTTTACAATTATTGTTCATGGTAAATATGACAATCCATTGAGAAAGAACTGAAAAATCTTTGTATATATAACATACCGGTTTATTACGACGGAGCCATTTAAAATCTTTTGTAGCTGCAAATGTTGAGATATTATGATTACATGGCGCTTGAGATGGTTGATAATATGTATTGCGATGATAAACCATACTGCTCATATGAGGCGTTGCATTATTAGCAGCAGTATTATCACTAGTAATAGTAGTTGACGTAGTATTAAATGAAAGATGATTATATGATGGAAATGTTAGAGAAGATTGTGTAGGCTGATGAGTTTGAAAATCTGTAGGATCAATAAAAACTGGTTTCGATGGTGTACTACTAATATTGTAAGATGTAGAATTATTAGAACAGTGGAAATGTGCACAAGAGTAGGCGGGTGAATAAGATTTACAAGGAAGTTGTTGGGATAAGTTAATAGGTGATAGAAATTCTGATGAAGATTTGTTAGTGTCAGTATCATAAATTTTGTTACAATAATTGATATGATTGTAGTCTGTTGAAAGTTGTGATTGGAAGCCAAACTAGAATAACAAAAAATATTTAAATTTATATAAATATCCCCGACAAGTATTTCATTGACTAGTATTTAATGAAAATTATTACTTGTAGTTTATAAAACTTTGTATACAACCAATTTTATCGTATCATCTTTATTGTAACTTTGTAGTCATTATTGATTCACTTTAAGATATGGTTCCTGAAGTTATCTGTGGAATGTGACCTGTAGAGTCAACTAAGTTCGTAGTGGGATAGATATCACAGATGATATTAGAGATGACAATCATGATTAATTGAAAAACACGTCTAGAATATGGACCGTTGGATTCTGACTTAATGTTTGAATGTTATCATATGTTGTTAGTCATGAGATTTGAACATATATATATATATATATATATATATATATATATATATATACGCTTTTGTGCAGTTGTTTAATTATACACTCAAATAATGATAGCTACGTAAGAGAAAAAACAAAATATCACTTACTTTAGACGAAGATGATGATGCAGTGCCTAAACCACTATCCTCTGAATCTCGATGAATTCGATAATGAGGACATTTAGGATGATGCCAGAAGTGATGATGATGTAAACGAGAAAGAGGATTTGGAAGTGACTGTGCACGAATTGTGGAGAATCTAGGAAATTTATCACTAATCATGACGTTTTCATTAAGATCCTCGCTTAGAGTGGTTGAAGCTGGAGAAATAACAGATGTATTATAATGTGTTAATGATTCGAAAACTGCATCTGTACTATGTATACGAGTTTTCAATGGTGAAATATTAGAAGATCCATTAAGGTGACTGGATCTAACAGAACGAAAATGGATTGGATTTCCAGAGAAAGGTTGAAAAATATTTCTTGGAAAATTGATATTGGATGACGAACCGACTGAAGGACCACCACCGTATTGTGTCTCATTACTATCATGAGACAAGGAGCTACCTTCAGGTGTACTAAACGAACGATAACGTTCACGTCGGTAGCCTACATCATTTTCTGTCCAATTATTTGATACATTTGAGGACGTAACAACACTAGTTGGATGAACTAAAAATATTGAAATGAAAAACATTTATCGTTTAAAATGATTTATTCCGATAAAAAATATATAAAAGTGCAAAACCACGGAGAAATCGCTTTCAATATGTTAGAGCAACTGAACCAGCGAGAGCATATGGAAATGATTAAGCTTTTTGATTTACTTGGAGCAAAAAAACAACGCTCTGAATCCTTTTGCTTCTTTTAGTCCAAAAGTTATAGAGAAATGGCAAGAATTAATAGTGATCACCAATGATAATGTATTAAATGTGAAACGATAAAGGTGTGATTATTCGTCAGGAACTCTACTGATTCTCTATTTCTACATAATACTGAGACAGCCAGGTAAGTTGTTATTCAAATGAATAATTTTTTCTAGAAACCTAGCTTCGGTGGTACATATACTAAAATTGGAACGATACAGAAAAGAGTAGCCTGGCCCCTGCGCAAGGATGACACGCAAAATCGTGAAGCGTTCCATTTTTTTGCCCCTGAATGCTCTGGTACGGACGAGAGTGGGTAAGGCCCGCCCTCTCCCTCGAAATGCTCTCACACAGCCACGCGTATACACCCTCTGACATGAAAGTCACTCACTGCCCTCTTGTGGCACCGGTGTTGTTTACAAAATTGAGAGGACGAAAAGCGAAAGTCCAACGCTTTAACCGGGTTAGTGGACACGGAAAGTTCACCTAGGGGAGTTGGAAAACCCTGATTCCAAACCAATGGTGCACATGGGCTCCAGGATCCTGAGGGAACAAATGGCGTATGAACCTATTGTTGGTTACCGACTACTATGGGACTGCATGTCCTCACGATGCTCCACTGTCGTGTGGATCATACCTTTAGGTCGAAGGCTCGGGGTGTGGCCCCCTAAGAAAACCATCTGCTTCGGTCTAGGCAACCGGGCAATATCATAGCCCTCACACAATTAAATGAAATGACAATTTTTTGGTGTGGCGCATATGTAGCTGGTGCTTCCTTGTACCAATATTTATGTGTTCAAATAAACAATAATAAATCCGATTTTCCTTTTGTTAACTAGGTTATTTAGTGATAAGTAGTTGACATTTTGAAAATATATTTATTAGCCATGTATAATCAAAAAAATGCTTTACACATCAGTGCCTTGTAAAATAGGGAGATTTCATTTTATATTTTTATATATACTGCTACATAGTTTAAGTAATGTCATCAAGAAGTTTATTACCAATTACTCAACGGTATTTTTATGTTCAGTAAAAGAAATATCAGTCATTTAGACACAAGTAACGTGTAGAAGTTGACAAAAGTGTGTATTAATCCAAGTTAGCAAACCTTTAATCAGCACACGCACAGATAGTCGACGATATGATTAGTAGAGACAAAATACTAATGTCAACTACGTTAGAAAGTTAAACATCAGAAATGAAATCGGTGAATAAAAATCACAGAATAATACTATGTTCAAGATTTACGAGAAGATAATAAATAAATTGACCAGTGTGACAGATTTTGGGTTATGTTGCCCGATATTTCCAATCAAAGACTATGATTACTGTGTATGTGTATAGCACTAACCAAGATATTAGAATGCATAACATATTTCGCCATTGAGTTGAAATCTATATAAAGTATTGTATTGTAAATTATATCAAATAATAAACTTGTCCTTACTACAGAATAGGTATTCAAAAAAATATTAATAAAGACTATTAAATGTGGGATTTTTGAAAAGAAAATAAGCTCAAAAACTAACTGATACCAAGCTATTACATACTTGACGATGTTGAATTATTAAACTCTTGTTTATTTGACACGACAGCTGATGAATCGCTTAAGTTGGTGTAGAAATCTGTAAACTTTTGTGGGATAATATGATATCGTTCTAGACATCCATATGTTAAACAATCAACAGGCTCCATATAAATATGTTCATCAGCATTAAATACATTGGTGGGAGCTGTTAGTGATGGTGGTGACACAACACGACTTGAGTGATATCCAGTATTACTACTATTGTTATAATTATTATTGTTAGTAGTAGTATGAGTATCAGAAAATGATGACAATGATGATGATGACGGTTGTGACGATCCATTAGTTAAGATGAATTCTTCATAGATTGACTCTATATCGTCTTGTTTCTCCTCTTCACTTTGCATAATACAGAACATATCAGTACTATGGTTATGTAGTGAGGAATTGATTAAGCAGTGATTAGAATCGAGTGATTTTGAGGCAATCAGATAATTATTGTCATTGAACATTGTTGTTGAAATAAATTGATTTTCAAGTTTATTAGGCGATTTAAGTAGCTCTTTTGTTGTTTCATCACGATTTTGCGAATGAGAAGATGTACTTATATCTATTGGCTGAAAATTCAATTTGGTTCAAGAATAAATATCAGTAATAACAGAAAAATAATTCACATTGCTCGTACATATATATAAACAGAGAGATAGCAACATAAAATCTTAGAATACTCGTGTAGAATATCAAATTCTCACATACTGGGTCAACATACACATAGAAAATCAATAACCAAAAATAAACACGACATGAGGAGGCAATGTAAGAAAAAATATAGGGCAAAGAGATATCTACTGATTTTAAGATAGTGTTAACTATAGTTTTGCAAGGGTCACATTCCTACAGTTAAAGAACATATGGAACTCAAAACAACTATCAACCAATATCAAAGTAAGGATCTTCAATACGAAGATAGTTCTACTGTAGAGAGCTGAAACGTGGAGAACTACAATCATCGTCAAGAAGGTACAAGTATTTATAAACAGTTGTCTACGCAAAATATTCAACATTCACTGGCCGGATACTATCAGAAACAGCCTTCTATGGGAGAAGAAAAACCAGCCTCCAGCTGAGGAGGAAATCAGGAAAAGACGTTGGAAGTAGATCGGAAATACATTGAGGAAATCATCGAACTGCATCATGAGGCAAGCCCTAGCCTAAAATCAAGAAGGGAAACGGAGAAGAGAAAGACCCAAGAACACACGGCGTCGGGAATTGGAAGCAGATATGAAAAGGATGAATAACTACTGGAAATAATTGCCCAAGACAGAGTTGGATGGAGAACGCTTGTGGGTAACCTATGCTCCTCCACGAGGGGTAACAGGTGTAAGTAACTAATTAACTATAGTTCAGAATTAGTAGCCTCTAAAATCTCGACGATTATCTTTAACTCTGGAAATTTCAGTGGTTAAAGCAGCTGACTTTTAGCCGATTGGCCTGAATACCTCTCATTTTATTTCGGTGTGGTCAACTAAATATCAATAGTATCAGTCGTTTCGAGAATGGGACAGATATTATCAGTAACAATTGATGATAACCGTGTAATAACTGCAAATTAACTGAAGTTGAGAATGTGTATCTTTAGACTCTGATTCACTAGTGTAGGTGTACCTGTGGTGCGTACTATTGATGTCCACATATATAAGTAGTATGTATCACCAATCGAAAGTGGAATGCCTGGCGTCAGAAGGTTGATAAGATCGGAGAGAAGAGAACAAGAATAGTGATTGATAAGGAAACGAAGGAACAGTCACGTCTGAGACAATTGATTGACATTTTGCAAATGAAGTATTTACTGTATGTTTCTCAGATTTTACTAAAAGATTCTGTAATTTTGTATTTAAATGCATTTGGTTGTTCACTGTGAAGTATGAAGATCCTGAGTTTAAATTCACGTAAGGTTGAGTGTGAACCGTTGAGATATCCAGATTAAAATGTTACCTATGTTTAGCGTTCGTTCTTCAACTGATATTGATCCATGAGGAAGACTATATCCAAATTGTAAATAGTCAGTAAGCGTAAACAGAAATAAAAAATTATTATTCAGTGCATTAATAATTTAATTTACAGGATATCAACTGAAGTTTACAACCACTAAGGAACCAACTAAAAAGGCATGTGTACCTCTCCATATAGATTAAATCAACAGTGAATAACCTAATGAACTAATCTCGTGTTTCGGCCTCGTCAGTCGTTTCTACGTCAATAAGCTACGACCAACCCTAGAAGTGGTGAAAAATACGTAAAAATAATATCAATAGTCGGTGAAGACTCACAGATACAGTGAATGACAAACCTCATATGAATGTTAAAAAAGACATCATCAAGTTAGTGAATAAGTGATCAAATTATGAAAATAAATTCACAACTTACGGTTACAGAAATGTTTGAAGTTGAACCTCCAATAACCTGCTGAGTATTTTGTTTATTTATCCCTAAAAGGTGAGAGAAAGCGAGGGGATGAACAAACTACCATATCAAATCCATAAAATTGAAATTATTATCGAACAATAGATAACGATGGTTGGTTTTCGATTTTCAACAACCATGTGTTCCCATAATGTCCGAGTTAACAGACAGATGGACATATTAATGTACAACCTTACAATGGTTCATAGAACAGAAAAGAAATAGAACTTTGACAATGCCAAAATATTATTTTAAAAAACAAGGGTATGGGTCGGAGTGGTGATGGCTTTTGATGAAATTTTTCTAAAGCGTTGGTAACGGATGGATGTAAAGTGAAATAACAAAGTGTCCTTAACTCACAAAAACCACGTTTCTGAATGTAAAATATCCACCAATATTTTCAAAATCCAAATACAATAAAAGTGTCATCCAAGCATCTCCGATTTTACTGATTGAAGCATGATTAAATATTCCTAGAGCTAAGTGTAGATTATCTCGAACGTACTTATCATTCTGTCTATTTTTATAATTTATCTCGAAAATTAATGATTGTAGATTTCAAGCATAACCCCACCTAAGTATAAAGTATTGATTTATCAGCTTGCTTTATAACGAGACTTGATACTCAGAGTTGAACTACTAACTTCTTCCAGATGTTCAGTGGACATAGAAGCTTATTACATTGACTATAACCATTTTCTTATCCAGTTTTATCCTAGATGCCGAATAAAATACATTTAAGTATCCCATCCAAAGGAATTCCATAACGACCATACCCATCTCAAATACCTTTTTAAGAGCGGTTAGGCTTTAATGAAACTCAGAAATCAAGTGTGTGCTTATGTATCGAGCCATAATTACTACATAAGTTACTGCTTAGAAACTCAAAGTGAAGTAGATGAACATGGCTTCCAACCTGTGATCTAAAAAAGGTGAAAATTTGAGTGCTTAAACCACTGGGCTGTCACCAATCAAAAGTGGCGAGATCAAAATCAATTAAAACAACATTAAATCCTCCGTTCGTTATGAATTGGTCTACGCCTGCAAAGACATGCATCGTATTAAAGCCTAGGTTTCATTAAATCATTACTCATATACAATGGGACCATTTAATGAGTAACACTAGGGTTAGGTGTACGATATTAGGTAAGGATGATGAATTTATTGATAAGATTTTGGAGCTCTACCAGCTGAGGTAGCTGAGAATCAGGTTATGCATCCCTATATGCCATCTACCCCAACATTCTATCCTCGCTACCATAGAAGTTTAGCAGAAAAACTAGTACCAGAGGGTATCAATCCATGTAATGACTGCTTGTCTGAGCCATATAGATAAGTTTAAACTATATTTTTGGGGTCCGTAAGCTAATCTTAATCTACTGTTGTGAAAGCTTGGTAATGTAGCCCGTAATCAATCACAGCGGTGCAGTTGGATCCACTCATCTTCATATAAATCTCTAGTTTAGACGGTGATTAAATGGTCAAAGGACTTTACTTCCAAGTATTAGGTAGCAGGCTTAAATTCTACTATCCTTTCATTTGGGCACTGCCAATACACAAAAATCATGACTAAAATTAGAATGCACAAACCTAAACATTTTAAATGGACCACATCTTGAAAGACATAAATAAGTGATCATAAAATCCATTCAGTTATAAAAATGTTTTCAGTTTCAATGAAGTGAAAGTTTAGTATAATAATTTTTTTAATAGCTATCATTCAAGATAGTTTTGTGAAATCGCCGATTGGTTAGCTTGTTTGAAAAGACAAAAACATGCCGAGCTGTAGCATAATTCGACTGATAGTTTCAACAACAATGAGAGGACAACAGGAATAAATACGTTTGACGTTGTCTTAAATTTAGCATAAGTTCCAGATCATCCCATTCTATGTGATGTATACCCACTATAAAGATGTTATTAAACTTTGGCTATTAATATATTTAAGACAAATGAAGGAATTAAAGCCTTCAGTGTTTGTGAAAAGTTTATTAGAAAGTAAATTTGTTTTGTGAATCATCAATGTATAGTCATACTAATGAAAATCATCTTTAGATCATATATTTATCCAGTATTTTAACTAAATAGAACTATTATCAGAAGGGGTTTTTGTGAAGATTTTAGTAATTTATAGAGTTGAGATCATGAGTCAATTGAAGCTAGACCACCGAGGAAAACCTGGAAACACTGGACGGCCGTTTCGTCCTATTATGGGACTCCTCAGCAGTGCGCATCCACGAACCCACTCTCGCGGGATTCGAACCCAGGACCTACCAGTTTCGAGCCGAAGCCCTTAACCGATAGACCACTGAGCTGGCATCCAACGGTGATAATGTCTAACTTCGGTTAAGGGCTTCGGCTCGAAACTGGTAGGTCCTGGGTTCGAATCCCGCGAGAGTGGGTTCGTGGATGCGCACTGCTGAGGAGTCCCATAATAGGACGAAACGGCCGTCCAGTGTTTCCAGGTTTTCCTCGGTGGTCTAGCTTCAATTGACTCATGATCTCAACTCTATAAATAGAACTATCACTAAAACTTCTAACTATCGGAATTTCCAGTAAGTTCAGTGTCCTAAGCCAAAGTGATGAAGTGAAGGTTACTTAAAATGAAGTAGGCTGAAGGAGAATTGAACAGGTGACATACAATAGTTGAAAGCTGAATAATTAATATAAAAAGTCAATTCGCAACTTTAATCATCCGACACTAAAGTTTCATCTATTCTAAGAAAAAATCTTAAAATTATGAAACATACCAATATCTTCCGGTACATCACTCATGCAATGACAGCATTTATCGAACAATCCAATATATGAATTTCGAATACTGTGTATATTATGTTCCCGGTCTTCACAACATGGTATTTTATCAGGACTTTGTGCTGCTGAAAGTTTTGATATGAACATATCAGTTTGTAAGTATGTATTTCCTTTACTAGTAGGAGTAGTTTTTTCACTATCTTGAACATTGACTGGCAATAAAAGTGGAGTAGAATCGACGCCGAAATTCGTTAACTTAGTTGATGAGATTATCTTATCATTCGTCGATTTCGAATTGATTTTTTTCAAATGAAAAGACTTACTTTGTAATTTTTCTGTTGCTTTTCGAATGGATGATTCTTTACGATGACTACATTTTAAAAGAAAAAAGAAAAACAAAGGCAACATTGAGAAACAAACGTAGTATGAGAAAGATGGTAATAGATTAAATTAATCTTAATTTTTGCAACAACTGTAAATGTATCCAGTTAAGGAAATGAATTTTTAGATGGAATCGCACTAAATGCTACGTCTTGTACAATGTTGGAAGTATATTCAAGAACAACTATTGAAATATGTTATTGAGGAAGGTTCTGCATGTGGTATTAATACGTTTCGGTTGTGATATGGACCACTAAAAAAGTCCTACTGATATATGACGCTTGATGGTACAGTGTGATCGACTGGTAACGTCTGGCGGGACTGCACATGCTGAAGAATGCTTCCGAATGAATTATATATATATATATATATATATATATATATATATATATATATATATATACTATTGTTATTATTAATGACGCAAAAACACGTACAGTGACGATTAAGTAGGAAATTTCATCAACAAACAGGTATAAGCATGAGGAGTCTACTAGGTTCAATATTTGCACAACTAGATAATACCAAGTCTCAAGAAAGCGATAAAAAAAACAACGACGTATGCGAGATAAGTTTCCGATGTCTTCATTACATGGGATAACAAAGTTCACACTGATCGAATCCTTAAATGTTTTAATCTAGCTGTCTCAAACTTGAAATTTACATGGGAGTATGAATCGTAAAATAGAATAAATTTTGGCGTTTAAGATCACAATAACTGAGGATTAATTAGTTACAATTTCTATCTATAACAAAATTTTTTAATCTAGTAAATATCTACATTTCAACAGCTTTCAGCCAACGTTGTTTGTTAGGGGCAACCAAACTATACTCTGATGATTCACTAAATTATAAATTGGAAAATATTAAGGGGGACTTACTGAACAACCTTTATCTGATGAAGCTTATTTACGGCAATTAACCAGTAGCCTAAAAAGAATATGCTTGATAAACTTCCATTTTAAGGGAATGAACTAAGCTATCGGAATAGTTGTACATTAAGAGTTAGAAATTGTGCCGAAATATACGTATGCTTATTTAATAAAAGGACTTTAAGTACTTCATGGTAGATATTCATACTCAGTAGATCCAGACTTCGCACCTTCGTTGATGATACTCATTAAAAAAACTGCATCGTTGATCTTAAGGAAAATATCTAGGATATTGATATGTTTCACTCGCTCTACATGCAAAATGTTGTTTCAGGAATGTTCTGTGTCAACATCTGAACTGATAACAGGGAGTGAAGTAGTTGAGTGCGTTGACTATTGCACTTATTACGGACATCTCATCAGCATCGAGGTGTTGATGTCTAATGAAATCTCGACACAGATTCAGAAAGCCCGGCTGGTGTTTAACGAATGGCGTTACTTATGGCGTAGTCGAAATATCCATCTGCCAATCAAAGGGCATCTATACTGTCCGACAATCTGCTCTATTTCACTTTATAGCAGTAAAACATGGTCAATGAAAGTAGAAGACACACATAGGCTGAGGGTTTAGGATCATAAGTGTCTATGGAACATCGCTGGTGTCTTATGAAACGACCAAGTTACTAGGCAAAAGTGGGGAGTTGGTTGAGGCAGCTATAAATCTTTATCAGTTGAGGTAGTTAGGACGTATGTTGCGTAGGCCTAGACACCATGTACCTTGAGATAAGATATTTGGTGGTGTAGGAGTAGGTTGGAAGAAAGTCAGGTTGACCAAAGCAAGACATGAGATCAATCAAGAAAGTCAGTGACTAGTGGAATGAGCGGTGTTGGTAGGTCCAGACTACTTGGTTGGGGTCCTTGCCAGGATTATGACCGATGGTTGGAGATGTTTGGTGGCATGACTCGTAATCAGTTGCAATGGTCTAAATGCATTCAATCTTTGCCTTACTTTAGACTTGAGTTCTAAGATCACCTTATACTTTTTATTCAGCGATTTAATGTTTCCTTCTCAAACCGCACGCCTCACAAATAATCTCTACTACCCGGGATAGCGTTATTACTCCTACTAGTCTGACATTTGTCTTGATAATTTTACGTCGTTACGTTGATATATTGTGGCGGCTTGAACCAATGACGTATGTGCCGTATCACTGCCAACAGAAATTAAATGGTACGGTGTCATCTGTACAGATGTTACGAAATGAAATAAAATCACGACTAGTTGGAAACTTAAGGCTGATTTAGTGAGAATCAAAATGTAATTGATGATACAATGCTTGCTTAGCTGTGTATATTAAATGCAACGAAAAGTTTAGTAAAAAGTAGACAATAAATAGTTAGTATCTACATTCAATAATTTCGGAGCCATACACATATAATACACTTGATAGTCTACCAAAAATTAAGTTATGTTCTAACCGTCAGCTTGTGTTCGATTCAATAAATCAAGTTTTGTTTTTTACCTAGAAATAAGACATAGATAATAGTCTTGGTCTACTAAACAATTTAATGAAGGTACGATTCAGTGGTTTAACCATCCAACTTCTAATTATTTGATTACAAACATTAAACTCACTTAAATCTATGCTGATTTAAGCAGCAGTATTCAAAATTCCATAACAGAAGTGGCTCAGAAATCTACAAACATTATGTTATGTTCTTTTAAATCTAGGCTACTTAGAGCTTTATATTATTTTTATGTAAAATCGATATTCTGAATTATACAGATTATCACACTATGGGCGATAATAACCAGTGAATGACCTTGGCCTTGTAATCCACTACTCTTTTCATCCCATAGTATTAACTAGGCATCCCACTCATATTGAAACTTGCTTCTGCATTAAGTAATTGTTTTTCTAGACTTATCCGGGTTTATGTTTGCAACAATATACCGACTGTTATGTTATAATATTTAAAAGTAGTTAAGATAAGGTCTGATCATAGTTATTGATGTTAAACTAATTCAGAAATCCCTTCTGATTCTTATTTTCATGAATCCATATTTTATACACAGTAGTGACGCTGATAAGTCTAAATCTCAGACGATCAAAGCATGAAACAACAGAACATAATTGTTCTATATAAGAACTCTCGTCTAAATTAGAACGAATAGTTTCACAGTATTTGAGCGCCGAGTTGAAGTAAGACATTAAATAGGAATAATATATTTGTAAAATCCCAGCGAATGAATTTTTTAAATTAAATCCAACGTTTCGCCTGGCAATCTGGTCCAAGCTTTTTCAAGGAATTATAATTTTAAAAATTCATTCGCTGAGATTTTACAAATATATTATTCCTATTTAATGTCATAATTGTTTTATATTAACATATTTTATCTGTTGAAACAAACTAATAACTGTATATGCTTTTGATGTTGGTTTGGTCGTGGAGCTTTCATCGTCCTTCTGAACGACATCATCAGCACAAACTTCGGGTAGAAGTGAAGTGTTTGAATTTCTCTACATGTGATTCACAGCTTGTCCTCTGCACCTCGATGTAAACCATTTTTCTTCCACTTTGCTCAGCTATTTTCCATCCTAATGGGCAGTTGATTGGAGGTCTGTATCTTACACTTGTTGGCAGAACATGCTGGCGAATGCACTCGTGGAGAAAATATAATTGTTCTCGAGTGGAAGCTTGCCTTTTGGCGAAATTCTCCCATTTTCGAACAACGAGAAGCGTACTACGCTCGTATGATTTTGAGATGGTGGAGAAGATTTGTAGCTCAGGTGGGTGATTTTGATGTTGGTTTGTTCTCTGAGCTGGGTGGTTTGGTCGTGGAGCTTTCATCGTCCTTCTGAACGACATCATCAGCACAAACTTCGGGTAGAAGTGAAGTGAGTGAAGTGGGTGAGGCCCTCCCTCTCTCTCGAAATGCTCTCACACGGTCACACATATACATCCTCTAACAGGGAAGTCCAACCCACTGCCCTCTCGTGGCGCAGGTGTTGTTTACAAAATTGAGAGGACAAAAAGCGAATTTCTGGCGATTTAACCGGGTTAGTTGACACGGAAAGTTCACCTAGGAGTCGGAAAACCCTGATTTCAAACCAATAGTGCACATGGGCTCCAGTATCCTCAGGGAACAAATGGCATATGAACCAATCGTCGGTCACCAGTTACCATGGGACTGCATCTCGTTACGATGCTCCACTGCTTTGTGGATTAGGCCTTCAGGTCAAAAGCTCCGGATGCAGCTCCCTAAGAACACTACCTGCTTCGGTCTGGGCAACCGGGCAGTATCATAGCCCTCACACAATCGAATGAAATGATTATTTCGTGTGTGGCGCATATATATCTGATGCCCCCTTGTACCAATATTTATGTGTTCAAGTAATAATAAATTTCTAACAATAACAACAACAGGTTTGTATGTTCATCTTTGAACCATACAATCTTTGTGTATGACGGGTCATCATGCTACTTGAATGTCTAAACTGAAGTAGGTGTAGTGGGTTTCGAATTTCTAACCAAATCCTTGAAAGTTGAGTGATCCAACCATTGAATCATAGCTGTCTTAGTAGTCACATTCAGAATTCTATTTAGTTTATTTTATATTCATAAAAGAATTGAACCAAAGTACGATGTACAATTTAATTTGTTCAAATATTATTTCTACCAATAAAAGCAATAATTTACTCTAAAAAGAAACATTGACTTACGTATGAAGTGGTGAAGGGCCAACTTTCCATCGAATAGGATGTTCACTGCAATTAAACCTTTTAGGTGTATGATTATGTTCACTGAAAGATTTGTTTGTTTGGATCGCTGGTGGAGAAGAGATAGTTATTGGGTTATCATTAGAAGCAATAAGGGTACCCGGTGAGTGCATTGATTCTAAAGTCTTTGATTTTGAATTTGAAACGAAAGAGACTTGTTCGGGCATTGTTTGTGATTTTTCATTAACGCTAACCTTACCATAAGAATCGATAAAGCTGGAAAGAAAGCCTTTAGAATTGGCGGCCGGAGATGATTTACAATTATGATGGTATTTGGTAGTATTAGAAAGCTTTCTTAAAGCCTGATTGGCCGAATGCATAGCCTTTCGCCCAGTAGCTGAAGCAACTGATAAGGTATTTAAAAGTCCTCCACTGAAAGATTTATCCAATGATATTTCCACAGAAGACTGATTTGCATAGCTTCCTGCTACCATTAGATGTGGTGAACTAGGACCACTTGAAATCTCAGAATTCTTGGAAGTAGTGAAACGACAAGTGTTTTTATATTTTCCAACATACTTAGAAGACACATTTTGATTCATTTTGTTCCAACAATGACTGAGAAAGTTTATAACGTGATCTAGTAGTTTGTAAAGAAATATAAAAATGATAATTAAAGTAGTGACGAAAATGAAGGATAGGAAAACTAATAGAAATAATTTTATTATTATAGTCTAATAAACCATCATGAAAATTAAATTCGTTGTCTTCGGTTTATCTCTTTATTAATGAGCAAAAATAAACAAATACTCAAAGATTAAATGACTGTGAAAACACAACGAAACAATATCTTTGTAGTTGTTCGACCAATCTTAGATGACCTGAATTAAACATCCAATATTTCACTAGTTACTAACAATTCCAATCTATGAATAACCGCTCATGTCTCCTAAAACTACACGACCAATTTCATAGTGAAGTTTCCAGCGCTATATACAGCCAGACTATAACTCTACCTAGCCAAAACTACAATACGACCCACAGATGTATGTTGCGATTCTCAGAAATGGATACAGGATACCAGTACAGTTATTCACTTAACTCCGAGTGTCCATACACCTAGTGAATTACTCGTATACTTATGTGTATAGGAATAGTATACAGCTCTAGAGTATAAAACCAACTGTTTTTTTCAGTCAGTCACTTATAGTCATTGTACAACCTAAGACAAATGTGCATCTGCCCAAATCATCGCATCACTTCAGCAAATTGATAAAAGAATTAACAGGATGAATAGTGAGAGAATCGAATGTAATACTAGTGCCGGTGGCAGTGAGAAGGACTAAACATTCAGAATACGGTCTGAAATGAGGGAATGAACTTGAGGAATAAAAAGTGTGAAATAATACGGTAACTAAATAGTTGAGGGAAGATTGGGAATAAAAGGATCTGTTCTAATATAATTAATTTTCAGCCATTTCACCCAGCGCCTTCAACCATTGACCATGATTGTCAGGTCTATCCTAAACAGGTAATCCGCACCTATCAAGATGCCCCAGACCAACAGTCAGTGACTTTATGGATCGACGCTACATCTTGATTCACCCAACTCTACTTTTTGTCCAATCTATTCATATACCGGCCAGAACTTTGAGTACCCTACACCAGAAAATTTACATTACTCACTAGGCTGTTCCATCATACGTAAGCAGTACTTCGAAGGACACTAGTAAATAACGAATGCTTTCCACTTTCAAAGTAAAACACAACGAACGTGTGAACATTATACTCGCCCTTCAGTAAACAGATAGATTCCTCGCCTAATCTTTAGGTAGTATAAGTTCAAAATATCAAGCGAGATATAGCGCTTTATGTCGAGAACTCCTAGCAGCCTACTGTGCTATCAAACATTTCCGGCAGGCAGTAGAAGGTCGCAATTTCATGCTATTCGCCGACAATAAACCTTTAACATTTGTTCTGTATACCAAGTCTGACCGCCACTCACCACGAGAGTGAAGACATTTGGACATTTGGCTCTGCGGTCACGCTCTCAGGTCGTTAAGACTAACAATATTCCAAATTACCTTTCAGGTCCCTCAAGAAATGCCCTTCCACGGTGTGGGCAGCCGGGAAGTGATATCAGCCCTCATACCAGTGACAACACACGAGACCAAGTTGGTCGTATTCAAATCCTTCCCATATCTCCTAATGATTCTCTTATCTACAAGACTAACCCTTCTCACGTCCCTTTATCACCTCACACCGCTAGAGCAAACAATTCGAGTACGCAGAACATGATTTGTGTTCTCCAGAAACTACGCTCTAAACTACATGTAGGAGCTCTTAACGTCCAAACACTGTGACAAATAGGACAACAGGCTTCCTCAGCTACAACTTTAGGATCTCGCACCATCGATGTGTGTCGCGTCTCTGAAACACATACAGGATCCGAGTAGCGTCATTCATTTGTCAAAATAAAAAGCCAACTCGATTCACACTTCGTGTATCTGGAAGCCCCGATGCTGCTTCCCGTAGTCTCGCTGGTGCAGGTATAGCATTGAGTCCTAGGACAGAACTATCTCTTTTAGACTAGATCCCAGTAGACTCGTCTGTGCGCTGTCCGATGTTGAATGCAAATAGATTTGCAAATCCCTCCCCATTTTCATTTCTCCCTCCTGGTCCATGTCATCCAATTATATCTTCGTATCCAGTGTTGTCCACTCCGACTTTGGCGTTTAGATCTCCCATCAGGATGGTGAGGTTCTTTTCCTGGGCACTTCACTATGATCGATCGCAGCCTCCATAGAACTGATCCTTAATGTCGTCGTTGCTATCATTGGTGGGTGCATAACACTGGATAACATTCATTGTGATCCTCTCCTTGTTTGTTTTGACTTATGCTTTGATAATTCTGGATCCGTGAGATTCCCATCCTACAAGTGCATTTCGTGCTTCTCTGGACAGCATTAGAGCGACTCCCTGAGTGTGTGGAGCATTTTCTTCTTCGTGACCGGAGTACAGCAGCATCTCTCCCGTATCTATCCTTTGCTGTCTAGGTTGGGTCCAATGAGTTTCGCTGATTCCAAGTAATGCCAATTTTTACCTCCTCATTACCGTTGCAATTTGACTGGTTTTCCCGGTCTTCGACATTGTCTGGACGCTCTATGTACACATAAAAGGTGTTGCTCTAGTTGTTAGGAGGGGCATCCACCTCGTGACTTCCGAAGAATCTCGGCTTTTATCGTGAGGCGTCATAATTCTTCCTTCAACTCCGAGGACAGAGTTTAAATGGTTTAAATTGTATATTCTGGTTAGCGGTTTTTTAGCAAGGTTGTTTTTTACGGGATGGGGTTACCGACATCATGCCCAACCCTCCTCCTTTACCCGGGCTTGGGACCGGCAGTAACTCTAGAAGAGCTATAGGAGGAGTATTGACTACTGACAAATTAATCCAGAATATCAACTCCAATCAATAAGGAGAGAGTCGTTGGAATAAGTTGACTGGTCAGTCCCCCATAGATAATCCCAGATAACAAAATAATTTTATCAGATAACCTTGTGCATACTAAAGACTCTTTAGAAAATCTTTAAATAGAACCTTCTGTTTCAATTGTATTTAATTCTGGCTGTTCTTAATTACACTGAGTTAAATTGAAGTGTATCAACAAGGAAGTTACTGATCGAGGAAATACCTAGGACAGTGTGTCGAATGAACTAAAAGGCACTAGATCAAAAATTAAAAAACACAGTTCTAGCTTATAATCTTAAGTTAAAACACACACACAAAATTCAAACTACCTAGAATATTTGTTCCGACAGGCATCCAGTCGGATGAGCAAGATTCACGGTTCAATGAGCTAGATGAATTTTCACTTTGATCACATGACATGTCAGGATACGATTGACGGGGAAATGTAGAGGATCTTATCGATCCGGTGGCAGGATAAACAGATGGTGGTATATCTTCAGACTTACCACCATAATAGGACGATTCAGTCAGTAGAACTAAATGAGGAATATTTCTTGGTACTTGATCAACAATTGAGTTGATAGCTGCAACTCTTGCTTCCCAAGAACGTCTACGATGTGGACACATTAAACTGGAATGCAATCTTTTATCTTTCCATGTATCCGGTTTAATATGCAAAAGAGAACTGTTGTTGGAATTTTTCGACGAATGCACACAATTACAACACTGACCACAGACACAACCTAAAGTATTGATTTCTTTTTTATTGTAAAATAGGTTGCAACACGTGCATGATAACTGATCAAAAGAGCAAGGAAATTCAGAAGAGTGATCACATTCTGCATGTGCCTTAAAATCACACTCATTTTCGTCAGGTGAGTGATCATTTAAAAGTAGTTGAGGTGACGAACTGCATTCATGCATATTTATCCCACACAAATTCATAGAATTTGTAACTCTACCTTGGAGTTTCGTTGATAAGTGTGTAGGCGGGAAGATTTCACCGGTTTCCTGTGATAATTCATTCCACAGCTTTTTTTGTGCAGCAGATGGAGCGCTAGTAAAAAGAATTATGCCTGAATACGGTAGGAAGTGTGAATTAGTAGTACCTAAGTTCATATCGCTTCCTTCAAGTAATATACCATTAGATTGTTCAGATTTACTTGTAATATTCTCTCGATACAACAATAGTTTATTCAATAGCTTAAAAGAAAAACAAAATTTATGATTTTTGTATGAAAAGGATGTCTAAACAAAAACATGATATAACGGTAATAAATGGAGAATAACAACTGTTCATTATTATTTAAAAAAAACAAGTCTAACTCATTAACTTGACAGAGGTCTCTATGTTAACTAAGTAGAAGATTCATTGTGTACGAAAGTGACCAGCACTAAATAATTCACCCCTCGTGGAGGAACGTAGGCCGCCCACTAACAAAATAAACTACTCTAATTCAATATTCTAACATAATTACTGGTTAAAGTTTTGTAACATGATAAACAGGAGAGGTGAAGATATAAAGTTTACATTCGATGAATGTCCGTCAAAACAATAAGCCAACGCAGTTATAAGCACAAATGTAATTTATCATCATATAAAATCTAAGAGTTTGTAAATTTTACACAACAGAACCTAGCCTATAACCTACTATGGTTAACTAGACTTTTGATGTTTGAATTCAAAATCCTCACACAAATAAACATGCATGCTTTGTAGACGTTTATATACATAACAATAGGGAAATGAAACTTAAACGTATCCTCAGCTGACTACTATAGACAAAGAGTAATAACACGTTTTTCTCATTAATGGTTTCAATAACGCTTACTTTCAGCCATACACACCATCTACTATGGACCATCATTTCTAAACTGTTAGCGGAATATAGACTGGATTAAAGCACGTTCCATGCAGGATTGTGCTGGTGCACGATGACTGGCTATTTCTTATCCAATCAGCGCTAGTGGATACTTGGAGATGACTCTAGAATCTTCTCATGTAAAAACTATAAATATACTAACGTTTCCTTTATTGTGCTTCCTACTTCCATCTATTCTTTTTATTTGGAATATAATATCGTTCCTATTCACCCGGCTTCTGATTTGGGGACTTGTCGAGTGAACTAGTGTTCAAGAATGCTAAGCAATAGGAATAGTTGGGTCGTAATAAGAGAAATTACAACATAAACTTAAATTCCAATAGGGATTTTCCGAAAAAAATTCTTGGTAATTTTATCTGGGTTTTGTAGAATGATTCATGATGCAACAATCAAAATGGAATGGAAAATTTTGGTGAAATACTTATACTTAACTATCAACACCACTGTCATTGTACCCCGATGACCATCGAACTAATTTCTTCTCACAATGTGCTACTTCGTTTTCAGAAAGTTGGGCTTATATCTTATATTTGTACATCTTAGAATGCAGGAATTTGGGAACTTGATATCTAATCATTTTAACTTTGATGCTTGGATATAAATAATGAGATATTATGTTCAACTGGAGAGGCACAAACTATATGCATTTGAAATCAGTTGAATAAGTCTTTGTAGCTCTTTTTGTGAACAGCTTGGTCTATATTCAAAGCACCTTAAGCTAGTACACAATAATACAACTATTTCTAGAGTTGGTTTTTTTTAACCTTTCCTTTATCCAATCAAAAAAGATTAAATATCATGAATAATAATAAAGTCCTTTGACAAATTCAAATTGCAAAACAGATAGGATTGATAAATTACTACCAAACTTTCTATCTCCATTCAAATCACCTGAGACATAAAATTTGCCATTCCATATTACCAATATTCGACTTGATGTCTTATGGGAATGCAAAACCCCAAATACAACGTATGAGAATGAAAACCACTTTAAATCGATAAGTGGCCAAGTAGGAAAGAACATATCATTGACTGATGACCATTCTTTACTTTCATTTTAGCAATCGAAACTTTCGCTCATCAAACCGTAAAATATTACTTTGCAACAATATCACTTTATAGTCCTTAAGCAAACCAAACATCGGTTATTATGAACTATTAGTCTTTGATTGGGAGTTTTGCGACACAATCACAGAATAAACCAACAAAGTGATAACTAATCAATAAAGTGAAATAAAGAATAAATCAAATGGATTCAATTGTTAAACAAACTTACTGTATGGTGTGACATTAAATGAATGTGAACTTGGCCATCGTAAATCTTGAGTGATTCTATGTCTTTAAATGAACTTATTATAGATGGATTTGGAATAGGTGTACTGGAGGAACCAGACATAAATAGTCTTGTTGTCGGTAGAGGCCATGTGGCAGTTAACACTAAAGGATCTGATGTACTGTTCTCCTCTGAAGGATACAAAGTTGAAGGCTTCAGACTAGTGTATTGATTACGATGGTGGTAATCATGGTAATGATCAGACCGATGATCAACTGAATGCTCTGAAGTTTTGGAAATAAAAGAAGCCATACAGAATCCTGCACACGACAGGAGATTGATGACAGCGTGTGCAGCCAATGTGTCAGTGCATATGCAAGCTATAGCAATTGATAAAACTAGCGGTGAATGGTCATAAACCGATAAAGGAAGACATGAAAGACTAGGTATTTGAGGTGTGCTTGATCTAGGAATAGACAACATACTTTTATCCAAACAGAAGTAATTACTGTTACTTTCGGAAAAATTGGTGAATTGTCCTCTGGAATATACAAAATTACCCGGAAGGTATTCGTGTGCGAGTTGCTTAAAGAGAACATCCACACACCCGCCACATGAAACAGACAAACACGGTGAACATAAATATGATGATTCAAATCGATAACTTTCAGAGTAATAATCTGCTGTTGGATCAAGACATGAGGCATTATCTATTACCGGAGAATCCATTTCATTGGATGCCATAGGACTTCTTGGATTTTGGACTGCTTCAACAAAAATTTAACAAAAATTTTCTTAGTTGATTAACTGGATGAAATATGTTTGAATTGTTACTTTATATATTAATAGAATCAATTAGAATAAATAAATCGTTAATCTGTTAACATGCATTAAGAATAGCTGATTGTTTCCTGAAAACACAACAAAATCATCTATTAATTATAAGATTTACAAAAATTGTTACTAAATTTAAAAAAACTTAGTATTCAGTTCACTGAGTAAACGCTTAATTTATCAAGTAGAAATCCTTGAAAAAAGCATACTCACATCCCTTAGAATACTTTGAAGAACTTTTAATCCAATAAACGCTCAGTATATCTGCCGTCTGCTTTATATTCAATGGAGGTATTCTCTTCTTTAACAAGAAGGTTGAGCACGGGGGCAGCAACCCCACCTCATAGAAAACAACTTTGATAAATAAACGCTCAACATAAAAAATCATTCAAACCACTTAAACTCTACCCTGGAAGTTGAAAGACCACCTCGTGGTGAAAACCAATATTCTTTGGAAGTTAAGAGGCTGATGGCGTTTTGCTTAAACCAGAGCAGCAGTTAATATAGGTACATGAAATATCCGGACAATATGGAAGTCCGAGAGGATCAGTCAGATAGCTGTAGAAGTGAGAAAATACAAATTGGCGGTTCTCAGAATAAGTGAAACCCATTAAACCCAAATTGGACAGAATAGATTAGATTCGGGAGAGGTGCAGATGTACTCTGATCATGAAGAAGAAAAGACTTCGTACACACAACGAGTTGCACTGATATTGTCCAAAAAAGCACTAGAGCACTTATAGGGTGCGAATCTCGTAGATCCAGAATCACCAGTACATCCTTCAAAAAGAAGGAGGGGACTACAATGCATGTTATTCAGTGCTATGTGCCCACTACTGACAACAACGAAGGCGATAAAGATCGGTTTTATGGAAGGCTGTAGTCGATCGTAGAGAAATGCTCAGCAAAGGACCTGGTCATACTGATGGAAGACCTAGACGCCAAAGTCGGAATGGACAACATCGGATATGAAGATATCATGGGACGACATGGACTGACTAGGAGAAAGGAACGAGAATGGTTAGAGATTTGCAAATCTTTGTGACTTCAACAAAATGTTCATAGGTGACACTATACTCCCCACAAATGCATACACAGAGCTACATGGTCTCACCGGATCGCATTACACAGAACCAGACTGATTACTTTAGAATCAATAAAATAATTCAGAAGGTTTATGAAAAACGCAAGAACAAGGAGAGGACCTGATATGACTTCAAATCACTACCCGATAGTCTAAGTTGAAACTAAAGCTAAAGAAGATCTGGAAAATCGGTCGAATAGGATTGCAAAGTTTAATATACTAACAGACTCAGCGAATTCAAAGTAGCTCTGAGTAACAAGTTCCAAGCCTTACATAATCTACTCAAAGAAGAGGAAACCACTTATGTCGATCAACTGGAAAGATATTTAAAAAAACACTAACTTCAACGTGTCAGAAGTTGCTGGGCCTCGAGAAGCATCATCATAAGGAATGGATCTCTACTGATACCCTTGACAGGATTGGAAAAAGGATGAACAAGAAGACAGCAATTAACAACAGTCGAACAACAGCAGAGAAATCCAGGACAAGCTAAATGAACAGAAGTAAACAAACGATTGAAGAGCAGCGTTAGAGTCGACAATTGGAAATACGTGAAAGACCCACAATAACAGTGGGAAAATTTGAAAGAGAAGGGAACACGAGACAACCATGTAATACAACGAAGAAGCTAATAGGGAAATATAGTCAACTAGAGAGACCAGTCGGGAACAAGGGAGGAAGACCAATCACTGAGGTTCAAGCGCAACGGAACAAGTGGATAGAACATTTTGGAGCTCCTGTATAGAACAGCCCACCGAACCCACCGGATGTTGAAGCAGTACAAATAGACCTTTCTATAATTCTTACTCCACCAACGATCGAAGAAATCAGAATGGCTATCAGCCAAACCAACAGTGGGAAAGCAACACGGCCAGACAACATAGCAATTGAAGCACTGAAGCCAAACATTGCGAAGATTCTCCACGTTCTACTCAGAAAGGTTTAGGAGGAAGATCAAGTGCCGACAAACTGAAAAGAGAAGTATTACACCAAGCTGAGGACAGAGTTGGTTGGAGAATCCTAGTTGACAGCCTGCGCTACAAGAAGGGTAACATGTAAGTGAATTCATATTTAGAGACTAAGATTGCGAGTGATGCACTTTCCTGAGACCGGACAAAAAACACGAATAACAGGTCCGTTTAGAGTAAAAAGGGTTGTTAACGCATAGTTCTCTGGATGTTTTACATAGAAATTTCAAAATGCCTAAGTACTTTCTAAACATATTGACCATAAAGAATGATATTACAAGACTGGTTGAAATTAACATAACCTTAAATTTGCGATGTGACTGGATATGTCAACCGATGCACTAACGTTAGTAAAAATAATCAACAAAATGGGCAAACCCAAAGTACAACAAGGTGTTAGCATTCGAAAATTCAAATTACCTATAAGCATGTAGAAATACATCATCATATTAAAAATTCCAAATCAGACTGTAAACTATTACTTAGAAATTTAATGACTGTAATTAAACCACTTAACAAGCACGAATTTATGAGTTGAACTTTGAACCACGTTGTGTGACGGATGGCAACACTAACTAGGCATTCAAACCAAACAGATGAAGTGGGATTCAACTTTACGATCACATGTCCGAGTGCTGAGAAGAAACACTAAGTATGGAGCGGTAGTCTAGTTGGATTACAACACACGAATTAGCGCTTAGTAAAATTGGTTCTTTTTTACAAGATAAACCCAATATACAACCTCTCAACGTACTATAGTACCAAACAATGACAGAAATGCACAATTAATGCAAAACAAGAAAGTGTTATGAAACAAAAAACAGTATCACTAGTGAATAAACTGCTTGATGTACCTTCTGTGGCAAAGATGCACCATCAATCATTCTAAAACGCACATGAATTTGCAAATATAACACTCTCTAAATGCATTTATGTTTTGTATTCACGACTTATTACAGACAACTCTACCTTTAAAACATAAATATTACGGTGTGTACTCTGGAAAAGGTGCTGTACTCAGGAATAATGTCACCACTGATAACGCATTTTGCTTGTATCCTATACTTCACATTATTGAAAACCCTACAACATATATTCAGTTAAAATTATTTGAGATCTAAGTCTTTCCAATCAATGCACCTTTTTTTCGAATGTTACCTCTTTCATATCAACATGATCAGCTGTGCATTATTCTAGATTCTGTCATCATTTTCAGCATATATATATATATATATATATATATATATATATATATATCAGTCATCAACGTAACTTCTGACCAAACTGTGCAGAAGAATATACATACTGTTAACCAAACGACACACATGGGGCCATTTTGTTGTTAGATATCTTGAGGAGATAATACACTAAATTTATGTGGTTGTTCGGAAAGTCTGAGCAGTCTGATAAGCAAACAAAACTAACCTCTAAAGTCCACAGTTAAAATGTCGTTCGACGGACTTCTCGGGATAAATCTGTGGGAATCAATGGACGGAATAAGCATATCAAAATAAGCTGTAATTAAAGTTTGTCGTTCCGACGGTAGATAAGCCATTGCTTGATAGCGATCGTCCTTAGATAACTGTTCACTTAACCAATTAATTTGAGTTTCTTTCACGCCCCTAGGGGGAGCACTTAAATACTTGGTTCGATTAATAGATACATACGGTGATGGGGCTGTTTGAACACCAAGGTTTTGGTCGAAAGTACTTAACTTTCTCGAAGTCAATAAGTCGGGATTTATCTTTGAAGATGGTTCACTGTAATCCCCATTCACTGAATCCAATGCATGCGTAATATATGGATAACTGTCGCGAAGGTGATCCAAATAGCCCAACACCGTCTTGACAAAAATCTCAGTTTGTTCAACCAATAAATCTAAAAAGTCCTCGCGTACTCGAATATGCAAACCTAGTTGAAACTGTTGATATATCTACAATGAAAATAAATTAAATCATACAATTGGTCTACAGAATCCCTAAAGTAACTAATGAAGAACTAATCTACTATAAAGGTCGACACTTAAGTATAGGTTAGGAGAAAAGAAACATTTTCAATAGTAGTTATCATTACCAAGTTTTGATTTGATAATTTTGAATAAATTGAGCATTGGGTAATTTATTTTCAGTAGTAGATAAGTCTAAAAATGTATGATATATTCGAGAGCACCAACTTACAGCTCTAAACACTTAGCTGTTGGATAAAGGTTTATAGTTTCAATAGTTCATTCATTTCGCAATATGTAGAGACTAGATTATTAATACTAACACTTCCTGTGTTACAGAATTGTGTACGTTGCACCATAGATGGGTAGTTAACAGCTACAAGTGTACCGCCCAACAGCTATTTATCGTTTGGTGTGTTAGACTTATTGTACGATAACAATATCTTTATGATAAAAGATAATATATCTTTAACAACCCAATGGGTAGAAAATTAAATTTCTGACGATTTTTAACTTATCATAAGTCACTTCTCTAAAGAATAAATAACTAAAATAATTATATGTTTCTTCTGATCAAGTTTCGATAGGTGGAACAGAGTTCAAACCTGTAATTTAATGGGAGTTGACTATTTATACTGGTAAGCTACAGTTTCGTGTATTCATACATAATATACATTGATCTTGTAAGCTTAGCGATGCATAAAATATTCATTTCAACTATCACTCAATCGAAGACATTTCTATACATAGGTCGATCATCGCACCATAAAAAATAAGACCTATACGGTAAGCTAACATTTCATATAATAAAGTTTACGAAGAGCGTTGACACAATAGGTTATAGTAATATCTGACAAAAGGTCAAACAGTAAAATATTGAGGGTCAGCCTTAATCATTAACAGGTAGAGAAAAATGAAAGACAACTAATGTGTTTAAACCTCGTAAATTATACACTACACGCATTCTAAAGGCATATTCTCAGTAGTTTTAAGAAACGCAGACTAATAAACAATGAAATTCCTTCCATAATAGAGATATCAGGATAAATTAAAATAAAGAAATCCACTACTATACTATGATGGATAATAAGCTTTGAACGTTTGTAGAAAAATATGATAAATGACAGTTACTCAACAGTTGAGATCTACATACCTAAAATATTGTCAAAACACAAAAAATATTGAATATGACTAACCCCAGATATTTCCTCCTTAGTAAGCGCAAGCAAATCAAGTGAACTAATATTTGATTTAACATCCGAGAGTGGTTGTCCCGGTAATATAACCGTAATATGCTCGTCGGAATGGTCCTCATTCATAGTGCTGGTGAGGCAGTTTCGAAATCCATGATGGAGAGAAGTCTCTAGGAACGCCTTTTCTGTATGACGACGTCTTATGTTAGTCAAACGATCCATATGCTGCTTTAATAGGCAGTTCTCGGATTCAGCTATCGGTTCAATAGCCAGATGAAAAGGTACACGTGAATCGTCATGTAGTACATTATTGAGGTCCGTGCTGCAGTCATAGTATGTATCATCTTGAAAGCATAGAGAAAATTCTTTATGACGACGAATGTATGATACGATTTGTTCAAATGAACTACCAAGAAAGTACAGTAATAAATAAACATCACGTGTATTGTATATTAAGCAATATAGATTAAAACAACTGTTATGACATTTTGTTACAAACATGTCTTATAATACTTAACATTTAATTTTCGCAAACATTTTTATGTACAGTGTAGAAAATTATTGTAACAATCACTGAAGTTCGAATAAATGAGGAACTAAAACTTTGTTGAAATCTGTACACTTAAACATTTTTTACTGACAAGACATTTACCTGTTTGTATGGCGAATAGCTTTTTCAAAACACTGTACACACTAGCCACTGAGAACTGTTAGAACTGAATTACTACTGGTGCTTTAATGGAACCCAGTGAGCACAAAGGTTACACTACAGGTTGGTAGGTGGAAGGTTTTCTGGTATGACGTAGAGATTACTTAGACTTAGATATTTTACATAATTTAAGACTATTTGTCTTATCCTAGAATTAGTAGAAGATTCAAGTCCAAATGGCTTAACTCCAAAAAGATAATAGCTTGAAATTAAAAAGGTATGATAGCGTAGAGGTTAAGAATAATTAGGTGATCATTTTTTATCACTGATTGTTCCCGCTTTTAAAAAGTAGAAATATATTTAAACCAACTATAATCTATATATTCTTGAGAGCTTTGAATCTACAATCATGACTCATAACAAGACAATGCACTGCAATCTATATATGTTTCCAATCCTATTTGAATTTTTTCTTATACAGTTGGGGCTATAAGAAATAGAGCTAAAAATCCATATCTTAACTCAAGAAAAGCCTGTACAACATGTTTCTCCTCTAACGACAGCAAAATTAATTACAGATTTTATCCTCACAAGCTTTAAAACTTTTTGCTTCACCTATATGAAATTTGCTTTTATAGCTTTTATAGACACTATCTATCTGTAAGACTTGCTTTTTAGTACAAATTTTGGATTGTTGTAGGCCTCATTATCCTATTCTTATTCCTTCCTATCAGCAAACGCTACGCCGTTTTTAAGTATGCCACCTACACTAGTTACCGAGGTCTTACGAACTATCTAATCCATATATATATACAACCCAAATAGTGTATTAATGATAGCAATCCAACTCGGTTACCAAGCATAGGTTTGTATAACTGACCAGTTACGCTTTAGCGTCAAAGGGCTAGTAAAGTAACCTACTTGATCAAAACGAAAAACGACGACATTATTAAAGAAGATAGTCTCCTCGTCTTAATATGGTCGATTTTCAACAGGATAGAAAGGTGATAATACCAGATAAGCTTAAAGCAACCAGTTCACCAGAAAACATTTTATAACATTGATGAATTTCGTATATTCATTTGTTAATAATAAGACTTACAAACCATGAACTGTGTCCAGATTCGGCAACAGATGCATAAGGATACCCGGCACTTTATCCAGTGAGTTCAGCTTTTTCTTTCTGAAACGCTCTTCAACTACAGCCTCGAATTTGTACCTTGCATTTAAAGAACCAACCAGGTCTATATAGTTTACTACATCAGTGTGATGGCTGTATCTTCCCATGAAGGTTTCCCAGTTAGTTAAAAATTCCGGAAGAGATATGAATACTAGACGTACAAATGAACGCATAGCTGAATCGACCACCTGACTCCGCTTATAGGCAGCTTCTGCATATGAAATATGTCTCAATTTATTAACACGAGTTTTAGATTCCATAATCCTGTAGAGGGTAAAGAACGCTTCTTCGATATTGACATTTTCATGTGCCGAAGTCTCAATCACAGGAATTTTCTTAAATTCATTTGACTTGAGAAAAGTATCTAGTCCTGATTTAGAAAAATCACAATTATCCAACTTAGACAACACTACAACGGCTGGTTTACGAACTCTTGAAAAGCATTTTAATGACTCCTGTAGGACAGCTGAGTTGCATGAGTAGCTTGGATCTACACAGTGAGTATTACTCGTGCAAGTGGTAATATCAAATATCAAAATAAAACCATCAACCTCCACTTCATTTGATCCAAAGCAATCACCTGTACTTGAACCCTTGCACACTCCTTTCTTACATGCATAGGTCAACTTATTTTTAAATACCAAGCGGATTTCGATGCTTTTATGAATATATTCTAAAAACTGATTGATATCGTGATCACACGTTGAGTATTGAGGTACTGAGTAAGATACACCGTCTGGGAACTTCGTGTGTTCCAGTATTTGAAATTTTATGATACTTCCATCTATTTGACGGCACGCACATCCCCAGTACAACCAACGACTATCACATACATTGACATCGCAGGAATGAGAGGTATTACTAATGGGATGAGGATCCTTGACGTACGAATCGGGATGACGAAAAACAAATCTATTGCAAAAGCATGATTTTCCTGAACCTGGAAGCCCAATAACACCGATAGTGATGAGCTTAGTCTCAGTCAGTGATAAGTGACAATTGTTAGACATAAATGAAGGTCAGGAACTCAAGGTCATAAGGGTAACAAAGAATATCAAGAAACTATGTTTTTCGCCTACAATAAACTCTGTTCTACTGGAAATCCAAAAAGGCGACTTATTGATGTAAGTAGTCTTCGCAATTTTTGTCATATGCTAGCTGATCCAAGAGTAAAAGTAAATTTTTCCACTTTTTAGAATAATCGATTTTCGTTTCGTTTATCATACCATAAGCATAGGTTCAAGCTCATAATTAACTCTTATATATATTTTTGAGTTTGGGAAAAAGCTTTTGCTTTGGTTCATTAGACTGCTGCTAAATAACAATGTGTTTCTCCCTAGTAAATATCTGTTTCGCAGTTTTTGTTATTTACTACATCCGAAACTTTATTGATATTGTTGCGGCAAATAAAGTTCCATAAGTCTTCGACAGTGATCTCAATTTTATAGCGATGAATAAATCTCCAGAATCAATAGTTCTGTAAGTTCTCAACACTTGATACTGACCACATTAGTCTTATTGGACTCACTTAGCTAAAGGAGCTTGGTCACGCATCCGCACCAGATCACGAGTAGAAACGACGTGCTCAACGTCTCCTACGACCACTAGCCAGTTTCGATCAGTCACTTCTCGATATATTCATAACCTATGAAGTATATCTTCGAACCTCCTCGCTTCTGACTTGATTGCACTGGGTGGGCACGATCCAATTATATGTGTTACTGGTTGAAGTGTTGTCAAACTACAAGTACTTGAGGCATCCTCAACCTTGTTAGTTTTCCTGGGAACACCTTGGCTGAAGGCTCATGGTCAAGCATCTTCACCAGACCACGAATGGTTACGCTGTACTACGCAACCCTCGCAACAGTTGTTGATCTTACCTCACACACTTCTCGACACATAGAAAGTCTTCTAAATTTATCTCCAAACCATCTTCCTGATTTCTGTAGAAGTCAGCAAGGCGGTTCAACTGGGTTTGAGATCCTCGACTATATGGTTGTTACACAAGAAATCGTTACGAAGCCATAAATATCATTTACATCTTCAACAAAATAAATAGGATTCTTTGCATAAAGTTAATAATTATAAATGCTTAGACGCCATATTAAGGACAGCACAATTGCTGGTAAGTATAAAAAAGCCACTGACAAAGCCTTTCTGATCATCGTAATTTGAATAAAGAATTATACCCAGCATGTATGAAGCCTCATTTAAAATATAGGTTCCAGGGGTAAGTTCATTGTGTGGAGCCAGTGATATGTCGCTGGACCTCAGCCAAATCATTCGGCAGTCGCGTTGTATAATCACCAGTTTTGATGATCTGTGTCGAATGATCGGGGCCTACTCGAGCAAGTCGAGAATGGTGCGACGAGTCAGTTAACTTCGAAGTCACACCTCACGGTTAGCAACGAAGGTGGATTACTTTTTCGTCGTATTAAGGTAATATGGCTACAGAAATATGCTAGTAAGAATGAGTATAGAGAAGATAGTGAGACTACCACCGCACCAGCCAATCCATGGAGTGCGAATAATTGATGAGTGTTGAGTGTTCTGGAACTTGGAGAAGATCGGTGTACTGTTCGACATTCAGTGACCCAGATGCCGGATGATTTGGCTAGGGCTCAGTGAAATTTCACTGGCCGTACAGGGTCACCAAATGTTGGACAGTTCACCGATCTTCTCCAAGTTCCAGAACACTCAACACTCATCAATTAATCGCACTCCATGGATTGGCTGGTGCGGTGGTAGTCTCACTATCTTCTCTATACTCATTCTTACTAGCATATTTCTGTAGCCATATTACCTTAATACGACGAAAAAGTAATCCACCTTCGTTGCTAACCGTGAGGTGTGACTTCGAAGTTAACTGACTCGTCGCACCATTCTCGACTTGCTCGAGTAGGCCCCGATCATTCGACACAGATCATTTACGTTTGTGGGGTACAATTTTCTCAAACATGAAGCATATATACTTAAAAGAGTTAAACGGCGAGAGACCAAAATAGTGAAATGGCGTTCCAATCAAAATGTCTCAACCTATTTCCGTTTCTTGAAAATTTCAAAAACCAAGATCAACTCATTAGGGTCTGGAGTGTCATTCATAAGTCGAGTGAATTTAAAAATGTTCATTAAACTCCACTCCTTAACTATGATGACAGAAATGCCTCAATTATTGCTTCTATTCACTAAACTTTAGCATCTAAGCCTTATGAACACTGACCTCCTGGTTAAGGTTCAACTAATGAAGCGTGCCTTTTCAAAACAGAAAGAAAGTAATCACTAAAATATTATATTGTGCCCCCCTCCCTTGTTATTTATAATTCTGTCACTTATAATACGGATGTCTCCTGCAGTGGTTGGATAACAGTCTGCATGTAAAATTAGGCACGTCTATATGAAAACAATTATATCTAAACCTAATTAATTAATCACTGAGCTTAGCTCAGATGTTTTATTTCCAAAACTACGAGCTTTCGTGTAGCGCGTGCATAAAATGTTTTAGGACGCACTCGTTATACTCACAAAGTCTCGGCAGTCTTGACTAATATTCCTAGTTCATGGAATTTATTTCCTTGACTACGAGCATTTGTACATATAACTCCTAAACAGAATAACTTATTGTGGTGTTTATTTGAACCAATGATTCATTTGTATTGATGACTGCTTCATTTTGAATTCCAAATACAATACATTCGTTTGTGTTCATCTAATACTTCTTGAATAAATTGCGTTGTTTCTGGGATTATTAGTTTAGATTACAATTCAAATACTCTTAAACATCACATTAGCGGCCCGATGAAGCCTGTGATGGAACCGTTGGATATACATTCTGATTGTAAGTCTTTCGACGGTTACATGGCGAGGTTCGAAATCTGGGCTGTGACCAAGGAAGATATTGAGGATTTTAATACTGTGACTCATTTCCTTACGTTCATTGGAAAAGAAGCATACAGCCTAATAAAGACTATGGCATTTCCAGACAAGCCGACTTCACTCCTTTATACAACTCTCAAGCAACTACTACTGGACCATGTAAAGTATACAACTGTCGAACGCCGTAAGGGGGGGAAATTCAGTGAAATGACTTGTCAGAGCATCGGAAATTCCACGACTTTACTACATCGTCGCAGTCTAATATGTACTCAAGGTTATTCAGATAACAATTCATTGAGTCGTGAAACAGTTCACGAAATTGAGCACAAGTTTGGTATATGTTTGTTCTGTGGCAAATATCATCCATGTAATAACATGATTCATTTCGTTGAAAGCAATGCTAAGGTGGATGTTTCTAACGATCAATTATCTTTATTCAAGATTTCCAGAAGCGGTATAACGTCACATAGCAGTCCAGAGTTGAATGAAACCCATAATCATTGTGAAACAAAAGTTTCTAATCAACCAACTTCTTATCGGATTTCTCGTGTTACTGTACCCGATGCGGTTTGTCATAATAATTCACATATTTCCAATGAAATTTCGTACAACTCTGAGAATAATATCTTGAATGAGTCAAATTACGATCAAAAACTAGATTCAGTTTTGGTAGATGCTAATTTTTCTAATGACCCATTATCTTCTAATGAATCTCTTAATAAATTTGAGGAAAATATTTCAGAACAATCAAATTCTGATGTCAGATGAAGTGTCAGCGGTCCTCACAATGAATTTATCTCTAATGGTATTCCTAATGAACGTGACAAATATGTTCTGAATGCGTCGAATTCTAGTCACATTTCTGATGTGTCAGATGTTGGATATTCTCACGAACAATGTTCGTTGAGTAGAATCCCTAGTCAGTTATATGATGGATCAGAAGGAATAAAAAGTTTACCCGAAGCAATTAGAGAACCAGTTTGTCCAGTTATTAAGTTTGCACTGGCAGAAAATCCAAATCAAATCAAAGATTATCCTGATGAGTATGAGCCAGTTGCATGTTTTCCGTTTGTTTGTTTCGCGGGTGAATCAAGCCTGGATGAATCACATGTGTTAATTACACATAACAATTCATATTTATCTGTGTATTCTAATATGAATGACAAAAAGAATATGTGCCATAATTTTTATGCAAGTCAAAGTCACACGATGGAATACCTCAAATTATGTGTCAGTGTGTATCCTCAATTACTCACATATAATAATCGATGCGTGAGATTTGAGAAGATAATGCGAATTAGGGACGTCAGCTTGGTTATAACATTATTTCATGAGGGAGGACAGTGTTGGGAAGTCTATGGTGCAAACCTAAAGAAAAGAGGTACGATTGATCGCAGAAATCTGGATCCTCATTTAAGCTGTGGCGGATGTGGTGTTTATATGAACCAATGATTCATTTGTATTGATGACTGCTTCATTTTGAATTCCAAATACAATACATTCGTTTGTGTTCATCTAATACTTCTTGAATAAATTGCGTTGTTTCTGGGATTAATAGTTTAGACTATAATTCAAATACTCCTACTTATCACACTTATCTATACAACTCTTCGTATTATTCTCTTCCTAGACCAGAGGACTAAAATATCCTCTAAGCGGAGGTTTTTTTGCCATTTTGTCGACATCTTTCTAGTTCGGCAAATCCTGCCTTCTTTCTTATTCTATCTTCTAGAGATATGTGGATCCTTACTCAGACATTGGTGTTATCTCGACTTCAGTCACTAGTTAACAAAGGATTTAGTTGTTCTGCTCACCCTAAAATTGCATAAGATAGTCTACATGATCGATGTTCAACATTCACTTTGGTCTTCTTACTTATTCTTATTGATTTTTTACCTTAATTTCCGTAGACATGTCTGGCAAGATGTTACAAATAAATGCTCTGACCCTTTTCAAATTATGCGCGTGTCTAATTTGGGGATCAGGGTGGTTGGATTCTAGCAAACTACCTGCAACAATGTCTGATAATTATATATTTTTACTAGGGCACGTACGCGCCGGTTTTACAGAAATAATCTACAAATTACAACATTTATTTGCTTACGGTATGATGAGGTCGTTCATTTTCCAGTCACGCTAGAGTTAAGTCGTGTCAAGTTTGGACTTGGACGGT